TCTCTAACATTCGAAATTAAAACAATGATAATTTTGTAAAATACATCACGAACATAGTTTTTCAAAGGGATGGTTCTTTTAAAAAGGACTTAAAAACAAATATCTCACAATAAACACAGTGGTTATTATAGATCATCACTGATATACTTTGTATCATCTACATACAACCTTTTATAGTTCCCTGATCATACACGAGTCAACCAAGTACGTTATCTTCCTACCGGCTTATAGGCCTAATGATAATCGAGATCGTTTTTGTGAAGAAATATCATGAACTTTAAAACTATGCAGAAAGATATTTTTAAATTAATATTCTTGTCATTGGCATCTTAATACACACATTTACTCTTAAAAAGGTGTTATCACTATACTCATTGTATTTTTTCTTAATAATGTAAAGATTTGTTGATGACGAACTATTTTCTTAAGCAGAACACCTTTATGTGGATACTTTTTCCGTTTCATGACGTCACCTGGCGCGAACAGACGTCCTATTTTGACGACAATACATTCCCAAATGAAACTCCATTCTCAAATTGTTCTCAAGTCGTTTTAACTTCTTTCTGGGTATTCTCACACTGACAACCCATGAACATAGATTTAGCATGCTACTTGTAGGTGGTATAAAGTAGTATATAGATGATACTATTGTAGCTAAACTTGTTAGAACCCTTTACCTTGCACATAATACTTCTCGCTAACCGAACAAAAAAAAGAGGACATAATACAGAAGGTTGCAATTCCTTAAATCTTACTGTACTGGGGCCTACATCATGACATTTGATATACACTTCACACCCAGGAATATCGACAGAACCTTGCTTAAGTGGTTTTATGGTTTTACGGATTACATGTTAATGATATTCATCTTTGTTTACTTGATGTTGCAATGTATATATGCACAAGTGATGAGCTGTAAATCTAAAAGAAATAAATGAACTATAACTAAATCTTTATAATGTATACAAACGTCATTCACTTAAACTCTCATCCTCAGAATTCCAGGGGTCACGCTCATTTACATTATAACCAACCCTGGAATGAGTCATCGAAAATTATAAGACACGTGCAAAGCTACTTATTTGGTTCCAGTTTAAAAAAAATGTCGAATTGATAGGTTGATACATGTAATTTGAATACCTAAAAGCCGGTGAATTTCACCTTTACGATGCCGCACGATTTTGTATGTACATCAAAGGATTACACTAGTCTACTTATGTCCTCTTCAAGGTGGTGTGGACTGAACCTTCGTTTTGGCATGGCATTATCCAGCTGTGCAGAGAACGTGAGAGCTTAACCTCTGGAAGATATACGCTAGACCTATATCAGTCCCGTACGTAAATATCATTCTGTATCGATTTCAAGTAACATCTGGTTTCCGAATATTTCCGACTTCGCTGTCCGTTAGTATCTTAAAACTGATGGAACACCCAGTTGTAGTTTTTAATGAGGAAGCAATAGCTTACTCTTATACACTGATGATTTCCTAAATGAAATACATGTAGTCGTAACTGCCGAATAAATATTTCGAAAATCGTAACTCCAATGTTCCTTAAATCGAGTCAACAAAAAACCCATCCTCGATACTCCAGTGGTTACGCTCACTTTCGCTATCTACACCCCTGGAATGTGTCATAGCAAAACTGAAGGCACGCGGCTACATATCTAGCTAGTTGATTGGTCTAAGGTAAAACAAAAAACGAGCACCAATCGCTAGGCTGATACCTGTCCTTTAAATATTACAGAGGAGAGACACCCGCCATCTAAGCCAGTCAACTTCACCGTTACGCGACCGCGATATTCTTTTGATGTGCATCAAAGGATCGAACAAGTATTCTTGTCTCATCCACAAGGAGGCGCACACTGAGCCTTACACTTTGCTATGACATTTTCTAGGGGTGCAGAGAGCGAAAGTGAAGTATCGAGGATGCAAAATACCGTGATTCGCCCCTTTTTCAACTCCATACCCTCATGCAAAGGAGGCACGGGAGTCTAGTGGTAGGACGCCGGGCTCGTGACCAAAGGGTTGCGAGTTCGAGTCACGTCACGGCACTATGTTGTATCTTTGAGCAAGATACATTATTCTTGTCCCTGTCCACTCAGTTGTGAATGAGTACGTGGTTGGGCAGTGCTAGCATTGCTGAATGTTGCAAAGGCCCTATAACCACGGATAATAATTTGTGAACGGCTTTGAGACGACCTACGGACTGTGATACATTTTTTTTTTATATGCAGGAACTGACGATCTACAAAAAAAATCTCATTTCTCAATGAGCTAATCTTAGACCTCAGGATAAAATCAAATGTATCGGGTATGGCCACGGAAACCTTAAATTGAACACCATTTATTAAAAAAAAAAAAAAACCACCAAAAACCTGGTAAACATGTTGTGAATATTGTACATAAAGTATTATAACTTAGTATGAACTATCATTTTTAAATAATTTCATTTGAGCTATTGTGAAGTAAATGCTTAACTTAAGTTAAAACACAGACATTCACCTTTAACTTACATGTATAAAGATGTGCAATGATAATTTAAGACAAGTGAGATACATGTATAATTATTTATTAAACATAGAGTATTATGAGTTATAGGGAGTTATCGAATTTTAACTCTTTCGGTTAATTGTGAAGTATGATTGTCTTATTTATGGAATGTTGATGTATGATGTACATAATGTAACAATTTATTCTAATAGTGTCTCATAAGCCGTGTTCGGCTGGGCATCACATTTTAACGTACTCTAGGGTTTTAAATGCCATTATCTACACTGTGCTATGTTATTATGTAAATGATGCGTGACACTAAAATGAACTATTGATTGATTGATTGGTTAATTACTTATAAAACAAAATATTTAAGGTGTCGCTTCCCAAATTCTTCTGTATTGCCATGGCACACTACGGCCTATGGAAAATAAGCAAGAAGGCGTCGCGTCATAACTCAAAACGCACATTGCTATTATTGTTACAATTTTGTTCCACATTGTCCTAAAATATCATATAAAGAGGGGTAAAATATATATGATAACTTCATACAAAAATATGTATTTAGGGAGGAAACCGGAGAACCCGGAGAAAAACCACATGGTCGGGCAGGTGACCCCATACCTTTTCACGTTCGATCGGAGAATCGAACCCCGGCCGCCTTGGTGAAAGGCAAATGCGTTATCCACTGCACCACCGTTAAGTATTGTCCCATACATGAGAGTTAGGGAGTGACTGGCGAGCACAGACTAGAACGACACATAGCTGGGTGAGGACAAACAGTGTAGAGAGATAACCAGCGAAACACCTACATGACGGTTTAACAAAAGCCTAGTCAGGTTCGTCAGAAAAAAATAGAAATTAAAAAATAAAAATATTTTTCCTTTTTTTTTTTCTCTTTATTTTTTTCAAAAATGAAATTTATTAACACACCATTCTACAATGTGGCATTGTATTATTTTAAAACTTTTGATAAACGTTCTGACTTCTTATCTAGGTCTGACTCAAAATTTAAGTATCAGATGAATCATTCACGTGGAAATTGGTAAAGCTTACAATGCTTTGTAACGACACTGATATCAGCTATCTTCTAAGGAAGTGTAGTCGACTCATCATGTTTAATCATGGGCGGTTGCTATGTTTTCGATTCTAATTTACAAAACACGAACAGCGTCGTGGATGTAGTTTAGCCTAAACCGTTTGGCAAGGACAGCAATACACGGTGCAGCGTTGAGGGCTTCTGTAAACCGCTGTGTACCATTCCATATTACTGTTGATGCCTTTTTAGACCCCTTCATTCTCTTTGGTATTTCCACGCTTACTATAACTTATGATTCCTCGGCTTAGTGCGTTAAAGAATTGTTATCAGGTTCCATGTCTCATTGTCTTTCTTTCACTTTTGACGCCATCTTGAATGCTGTTGTTGCCTTTCCCTTAGTTCCGACATGTTTCGCATTACCTTCGCTGCATTTCCCCCTTTTTGTGCCTCCTCGTTTGAACCCCATGGGTTCCGCAGTTTCAATTTATTTTGGGTGTCTTTCTGCTTGTAATGCTGTGTTTTTGTTTACTTTTGTAAGTGACTATGTGGTTATTGATTATGTTTTTTGACCCCCGGATGTTGTATTGTGCAAATGTTAACCGCCATTGTTTTTCTGTGGCTTAAATATAGATTTTTCATTTATCACAACCCATTCATTCAGTTGTTTGTTTTGTCATTAGTTTTAGTTGTTGAAATAAAATGTAGGCATTATTTTACATTGATAAACAAAATATTACAATAAAAGGACGATAGTATCAAAATCCTGTCTTTTATGTTTTATGAGTTTTAATTGTCATATTCGATATTCTCTTCGTATTGTTTTCATTACATGTTCTTACAACTGGATCTGTTCCTGGTTTCCAGATTGCTTCGTAAACCGTATTTCCAAAAATAAGATGCCATTGCTATGTTTATCAATTTTCATAATGACCATCTACATTCCATACTCGAAAAGTCAATATTATGGCACACTATGGTGGAATGCTTTTATACACTACAATAAAGACTGATTAAAAACACGTTTTATTTTTAAGCAATCTATTCCTGCACAATCATGATGGATTGTTCGTTTATGGGTGTATTTTGAAATTTTGTGTAAAAGCCGGTTAAATGCCCGGGTAATTGATCGTTTATCAGTGGCCTTCTATTGATAAAATGATAAACATTACCGTATTTGTATCGCATTGAGTTGTGGTGTAAACGGTTGATAAAGGACATGTGACCTAATTTCACTTATTGCTATGCCTTGTCAGCTTACTAGTAGCATGGTGTATTATTTATAAATCATATGTAGCTCGAACTATTATTTTTTGTTACTAAATTATAAATTCAAATTAAGGATCTTTAATATGGAGATCCAGTATGAATATCTCTGAAACCAAATTTGTGAAGAAATGAGTTGATTTGTTGACGCCATGTTATATATTGGTTGCGGGGTGTTATCTGTTTGTTTGGTTGGTGACGTTGTGCGATACGATTGTGGGCTAGGCTAATCACACCACATAATATATCCTCTGCACGAGCCATTGGACGAAACTTACACTCTGGACATCCATCTTTGCACACCAATCAAATGACCTACACCTGACTTCTTATACCTGTGATTCGCACCTGTACAATACTCCGTGCATGTTCATATACTGCACCATTGGACAAACCCTACACCTGTATCAGTGTTTTTTCCACGTGGCGCCGACTTTAGTGACGCAACAAAGGTAAAGTCACATTGCTCATGTTTCGTGCTTTTTCGAAATAATCGGATATTTTAGATATATTTTACGAAGTCAACTTATTTTAACAAGAAAATGATTTACAATTTGTATATTTTTTTTTTGTTTTCATCTTACATTTCAACGATTTATTCTTGAGGAGTTTATGTACACACGCTTGCCTTAATCTGTTATCACATATCATTTGAAGACCTTACTAAAACGCTTTCTTTTTCATCATATTTAATGCAACTTTTACCTTTGAAATATCGAGTTTTAGTGGAAAAAAACAAATTTCTAGTGTTACATATACTGCAAATAACTTTGAACACTAAACATATTTCATGTGCTTTGAAGATAACCAAACAATTGTACGTCATAATCAAATTGTCCGACGAAACATGGTTTGGGGCGGTTTTAGCCCCGTATTTTGTGTTAAGTAACACGTGTGTCTATTGGAGGTATTACTAAAGAATATGTTCCTAGCTACGTAATAAACACTTCTTATAATTCAACTAATGGGGTGAATATTTTCATATTTTGTTTCTAATGAAAAATTCGATTATGATAAGTATAGTATTCACTCGAAGAAACATAAATCAGTTGCACGAACAAATATAAAACACTTTTTATATTTCACTAGATCTGCATTTTCGTATGTAATCACAAGTCCACCGCTACTTAACATATCTCACAAAGTAATCATATGTTATTTTGACCTTATTGATTGGAGATACTTATAAATAGCTAAGTCATTTTAAGCACAATTTCAAAAATAAGCATTTACTCAATTTTAAATTAAATATGTTTACTTAAATAAATATCAATATCAAAGTGTACGTCATCATTTACACGAAGTTTGTTTGTATGGTATCACTGTTACCAAGTTTCGTAGACGTTGCAGTTTATAGGAATTTTAAACAAATGGAGGTGTTTTCATTTGGTTAGTCTCTTTGTTTTTATATATTAACTACCATATCCTTATTTTGTGTATAATTTCAGCGATATTCTATTTTCAAAAGCGATTAATGAATTAATTAATTTAATCAGGGTTAGTTTGAACAAATAATTGTCCATCTGGCTCTGGAGTTTTGAATGATTCTGTGTCAAAACTGCCATTTTTCTTCAATAATCGTAGCATTCAATGTTGGGAACTTGAAATCAAAGAGCTAATCTAATCAAAGATGGTTGGAGAAATTAAGTCTGTAATGATATGAATATGTCATATGAAAATAAATATGTATAACTACATCATTTTTAAGTTACATAAGTGTGAATATACCTAACATAAAACAAACAATAACGTCAAATATGTACTGTCTAGAAAAGCTTTACTTAAAAAGCTGACATCAGGAAAACCTAGATTTAATGCCGTCGCCCAAGACATTCTGTGACAAAAGAAAAAAACAAAGTTAAATTGAATTTTTCCTTATTGATTTTAAAAAACAAACAAGCCTCAGCTATCTCATATCAGTAGTATATTGGTTATAAACATGAATCACTCAGAAACCTGACATGACGTTGCTCATCTATTTACTTCTCGTTATCACATAAGTTTTACGTCGACCTATCTCTTCACTTTTCGGTCAAGTTTTCTCTTTTATCGTCGGTTACACCACTACGATTGCAATTTATCAACTTTTTTTTAAGATAGAATTATCTATTAGTTGGATTTTAAATTAAAAATAACATTTTAATGCTGAACGGCCGAATGGACATTCTCATCAGCATAACATAAGTAACTGTTTTTCATGTTTTTGTTTGTTTGTTAGTGTGCTGTGTAACTGTCGTATGTGTGTGTCTCGATAAAGGGATGTTTTAACTGAATAATTTAATTTGTCAAACGTTTATTTAACATGCTGGCACTGTCTTAAGCTTGATCAATCATAAAACAAAGAAAGGTTACGATATTTCAACGAATTCAATATCATTCCTTCGGATACTAGTCTAATCATCTTAATGCAAATTTACTATAGTGTATGTTTTCAGCAAAATAAATCAAAACGTTTAAACTACTCTATATCGCGGATGAAATGATCATATGAAGAGAGAAGTACAAAATTGTATTGTTGACTCGTTAAGATAACCATGCTTTGAATAACCACGGCAAGAGTGTTTTTTATCGCTAAGGTAAATATATGTCTCCGTTTCAATTAATGCATTCTTTTCATTGATCTAGTAGGTTAAGAAAAGTTTCCAAAAAAGACTTTTATATCTATCAAAACGTCTCACAATTTTATTTTATAAGACATATGGCTTTTTGATATAATGGATGATAATCCTTTCGATTCTCCTCGGCTATCTTCAGCAATCCTTTTGATTGTCGTCAATGAAACGTGTTGAAATAAAAAAAATGATAATGCTTATACACAGTTAGGCTAAACAGTTCGTAATAGCAGAGACGTATTATACGTCTCTGGTAATAGCTACCACTTTGTTGTCAAATAGTTAAAACTCCTTGATTAAACCTAGTGAATATTAGTAGATTTGACAGCAATTACCCCGTTCTCAGGTAAGAGATGTATTTGCGTTGCTTGTATGATGAAGGTTGCCATTTATGAATATCGTATACACGGTAACGTGCCCACAGTTGGGCCATAACAGTTCCGTTGACTTGGTAGCCCTGTCGGTTAGGGGAGAGTATACATGTAACAAAATCTAGGTTAGGGGTCGTATCTCTTCCTAGCTCCTAATGTTGGAAAATAGATTCTTATGCATAGTTAACGTTTTTTGCAGTGGTACGGGGATCCTTAACCTTTATACGTCTAACGATTTAAATTGAAATTCGTCCCATTTTATCATAGATTAAAGTTTATAGTGCTGATACTGTCCGATTACATGCATTATTTTATTGACAATCGGTGTGTTTTATTGCAGGTTTATGTTGGTTGTACAATGAAAATCGCCGCAGTGTCTCTAGTCATTGGAGCCTTGCTCCTGATGACCAGCAGTCCGGTTGCTGGTCAATTAGACGGTCTTTCTATTGATTTGATTGAGGGTTTGAATGACTCGCAGGTCGTCGCCCTTGTGGCTGACATACTTCTGCGCAACCCAGCTTTGCTTCACAGGCTTGAACCAATTCCGTTTGCCATTGGCCCGGTGCTGAACGAGATATCAAAGTTAAGAATCGAGATATCCAGTTCAGTGTTAAATTGGATCCTAGATAGTTTACCTGCATGGTTGAACAATCCTGACTTCTTAACAGGCGTGCACTGTCTGGTTAACAATATTAAAAAAGTGAACATAACGGATCTAGTAGCAACACAAAACTACACGATACTGATGTACGGCGTGGTAGCGCGAACAGAGTACAGCCATGTCATTGAAGACTTCTTGATGGCGGAAGGTGCTAATATTACCAAAGCCATTGGCCTCGACCAACATATTGCTGAGAAACTATTACCTTTTGTTGTCCATAGCGCTGGGACGTTCCTGAGACAGGACGGCCCAGCATTAATACGTATTCTTGTACAAGAATTTAACATGATTAATCGGACTGGATTGGAGACATTGAATGGACCCAGACTAATATCAGCTATTCTAACAAGAATCAACTACAGTGAATTGTTCGGTAAACTCTACCAACTACCATCAGTAAAAGGGATCGTTCATACAGGGTTCCAGGTAATTGGACTTGATCCAGCCCTTGGGGACAAGTTGGTTCCTGAACTCTTTCATGGTCTTGAAGAAATCGTTAATATCACCATTGGACAAATAAACCAACTTAATCTTACAGCTCTAGCCGGGTTGTACAAAGCAAACATCACAGATGTAGACCTTCTTCATGAAATAAACTATCTCGATATTCTAAAATCGACTTTCCTTCCTAAAATTGGGTCCCTTGTCCTAAAGTATGTGAGAGAGAGCGCTGTAGGAGTCTTGAAACTATTCGTGGAAGAACTTAATCTTGTACCCAAGAAAAATGTACTTTTCTTCTTATTGAATCCTCAGACATTATCCAATGTATTAGAAAAGTTCGATTGGGGTGAATTTCTGACAAAACTTTTAGAAAACTTTGGAAAACCTGTGTTTGACCTGGTTGGTTTGAATCCAGTAATAGGGAAGGTTTTGGCACCAGTTATTGCAAAGGATCTTCCAAACCTTTTGAAATTTACAATACAGGACTTAAACAAGATTGACGTGAGTCTAGTTGAGAACCCACCAAATGGAACAAGCCCTCTAGTTGTTATTGTGAAGGAACTAGATGTAGCCAACATTCTTCACGAGTTTGTGAAACTTAAGGGACTACAATGGGATGACATCATGGGGTTGAATACTGGAATAGCTCTCATGCTCTTAGATTGGACTTCGGAAAGGGTAGTGAGTTTTCTGAAGAATGAGACATACAATTTGCTCAGCATATTCATCGAAGAAGTAAAACAGGTAGACACCGCCGGCCTTGATCCGTCAAACGCAGAGGAATATGCTGGAGGTATCATGAGTCGTCTGGCGTGGAGTAAAATGTTGTCTACCATAATAGGAGATCAAAAGGATTTGGTATTTTCGCTCTTGAATCTGGATTCACTCAAAACTATTGACACAGAGTCTATTACCCGTTTAATGCAGCCTGTGCTTGGCGTACTACCAAACGTTCTAGCTGTGGTTTCCGACTCCTTATCAGACGCGAATTTCACCAATATACCGGCTAATGCAAGTGGTATGTACACACTAAAGAGACACTGTTTAAAACTATTAATCTGATAATCAATTAAACGTTTAACGTACGTTTGAAAGAAACACTTAAATTCATAGCTTATATCTCGTTATATCTTTAGAAAAATTAGCAATCGTCTTGGAAACAGCTTTTGAGGTGATGATTGGGGATGGGATGGTGAAAAATGTATCGTTCTAAGTATCATTTCCATGTGGAAATATTGATTAATGTTTATTATGGTGTACTCCACAAGTTCCTTTTTACTTAAGTTTTATTTACTTCTACTTACTCAACAGTATTGGACATCCTCCGTCAGGTCAACATTAAAACATTATGGCAGGACACCATCAACATGATTCTACCGCCAAAGAGTGCCTCCAACCAAAAGCCAAAGTATAACCTTAGCCTGAGAAGTGCCGCCTTGCAGAGCAAAGACGTACAAGAAATAGCACCTACATGTGGACCTGACACACGAGGGTTTCTGTTGAACGCAATCAGCGAATCATGGGCCATGGAAAGTAAGTATAAAGTATTATTAGCCCTTTGAGAAAAATCTAGGAATCTGATTGGTTAAAAACTACAGTGTACCAAACCGCATTCGTAAATCTCAGGGGGTATACGAAAATCTCAGGGGGTATACGGTCATTTCAAGGGACTCTCAGCAGTAATACGGTGGAATCAGGTGATTTTACAAGGGGTATACGGGCTACGTGTCTTTGTATCTTGCGGCCGGGCAACGGGAGACAACTCGCATTCGTCGTCTTCTTTGCTGTTTACAAAATGGCAAAACGTTTCGCTTTGTTTTTATTATAAAAGACTCAAAGGGGTAATAAATCCGTGTAACTAATATTATACTGTGCAGTGAGCGTAACTCCGAAGCCTGTATTCATAAAACCGTGCTCAGGCCAATTTAGTTGCTTTGTCAATTATTTGGGAAAACATTGAAGAGACTTAAAGCAGAAAACTGTTTTCAATGTTTACATTTGACTTTTTGATCGTTTTTCATGACCTAAGCAAGTTACAAGAAAGTTGGCTTGAGCACAGAATACATGCGTTAGCAGGAGAACGGTTTCATGAAAACGAGCCTGAGTATCGAGGATGCTGTAACGGAACTCCTTTTGAATGGGACACATGCATTGTGATGTACTGATCAAATCAAGAATGAATTTCGAAAATTAAGATCCATTTAATGGCGTCATAATTCCGTCCTCGATGTCGTTTTATTTGCCACGTGTTGTTCGGTTCAAGAGTTTGGGAAGCGATTCGGATTTTACTGCGGGCGAATTGATCGTCATCAAAACCGAATGGAGCATGATTGAGAAAATACAATATGCATATAAAGAATGATGTGTACATGTAGGTTGGTAATAAAAGCAATAGTACACATGTGTGGTCATATGACGTACGTCTCAGACTGCACTCGTACAACGTATATCGCACGAAATGATGTGTTAAAACCTTCGTGAAATATATCCATATGCACAAATCAGTTGCAAAATATGAGACATCACATAAACACGTACATGTGACATTGTCTACTTATAAGAGGTAGGTAAGTTTTGGGGGTACTTTTAGACATCACAATATTATATATACATTGTAGGTATTAAATTCATAATGTCCAACCTCCGTGTTATGAGACGATTTACAAACACTATTGTAGTTTATGTATATATTCTCATTACTCGTGGATATACATACACAACCTCGTCATTGATATCGTAACACGATCCAGTATCAGCTTGTCACTATGTTAAGATACGAAGTAACAATCATACGTCGATAATATATCTATCTATATATGTTATTGGTATATCTATCACATTTGTTGACCCACATAACATCTTAAAGGAGATTGTGCTGTGTGTTTTCATAATTTCCCCAATGGTATTGATTTAAATGTAAATTTTTAGCAAGAAGATTTTGCAGTGAAAGGCTTTAAAGTTACTATTGATCGACGATATTGCCAACTTTATGTTAGCACAGTAAAACATAAGGTAAATTGTTACTCACAATACACGTACATATTGTAAACAACTGGTTACAATTTTTCGATCCATAAATCCATGCTAACTCATTCAACTCATTAACGTTATTTTGCCTCAAACGTTGTGCTGAACCAAATCATGACCATTTAAGACTGTTATATCACAAATATTGACGTCAACATTCAGTTGCGACCTTATTCTTGCAGCTGTCGATTTTTTTCTTCAAATTAAACGATTTACGTGGAACGGTATGGTAATTAAATATCAGTCTTTATGCTTTTTTTTTTATTATTATAATAATTTCAAATATTTATGAATAGAGGCATGGATGGCTATCATTGGTATGCGAAAACGGAAAATTAGTTGCATGTCAAAGGTTGCAAAATCCAATATTTTGAAATTATATAAAAAAACAAGATACACAGTGGATACAGCTTCATTCTACTTGAAAATATTTAACGGAAAAAACTCCCAAAATACCTTGAATGGACATCCAATGTACTTTGAATATATGGCATTGACATTATATATGCTTTAAAGTCCGTGCAATCGCTGTCGATTGATATAAACAATATTTCCCGCGTTCTATAATGGAAATAGTACAGCAGCTGACAATCAACAGATGATTATGCACGGTGCTGTCAAAAGATCAATGTATCATGATCATCGTCAATTTACCTGTCTTATAAGCCGTACAAATCTAATGACGTCATTTTAGTTGTACATTTGTATCCTGCGATTCAAATGATTAAAAATAAATAAAATCTGGTATCAATTTCATACAAATGTAATTATTTTTATTTTACGCATAAATATATTAATTTGTGAACATGTAAAACGCATTAGATATGTTTTTGTTAAATGAGCATCTTTTTATCAGATTTGTTTGTATTTTCTTGGGATGACTTGACAGGAGATTAATTCAGTGATTGGAATAGACAGTAGGCTCCGTCTTTGTACCTAAATCACGATACCTTTTGCCCACAGTTAATCATTCAGCTTGGATCTCATTCACCCATGAAGATACATTTGAACTCTTTCAATTTAAAGGTTGGACCAGTTCATTTTGATATTTCAGGGGTGAATGAATTAATTAAGATTATGAACGGTGGTTTATATGGAACTTTTGGTCGTTTTTGTTTACTGTACTAAATCAGATATACATACGGTTGTTGATGACTTAGAGAAAACCCGGTGATATATTCGTTCTCTTGACGCGTTCTGGCGAAGTATTTCAAGGCCTGTACATGTGTAAACATTTACGCGTTCGCCAGACGTTACTTATCAGAAAACTTCATTAAAAAACCACAAAGCGGTCGTTCCTGATAAATGATAAGCCCCATGGGTAAGGTCTTTTTTCGAGGTCATAGAGGGATTATTTATCAGGAAAAAGTCGGTCTTACATGCCGAAAAAAGTTAAAAGCCAGTAACAAAACTACGTAAATGAAAATGGCTTTTTGGTCATAAGACTGGTTTAGTGGGTTTTTTCATTATGGTTCTTAATATGTCAGGGAGTTAAAGACTGTTTTATCTATTAAAGTGCTATTTAAAAACATCCTTTTCAGGTGAAAAGGTTGAAAATATCAAAAATGAAACTCGGTCGTACCTTCCATTTTTAGGAATTATGAAATTTTACCACAGCACACCACTGTTTGGTAAATCAAATTCACGAAGCTTCCAAATACCTTATGAATAATACGTTGTTTTATGGATTATGTAGCAAACATACTCTAGTGCACCAAATTTTAGATAAATAGTTTTCAACTTGTTAGCCAATTACTGAAGACTTCTTCACAAAGTTGATAGGATAAAAATGCATAAACATAAAATTTTGTTTTTATAAAATTGAGATTTCTTATTCAATGTAAAGGTCAGATGGGGTCAGCATCTATGTAAATAAAGCAACGTAATGTTTCAGCACAACTGAAATTAAAACTCAAAAGCAACGAACACAAATGTTTCTATAAATCTGTGCTGTAATTTTAAACAAAATTTGTCTATTACATGACAGGGTTTCTTTCCATTGTTTTAATAAATCTTGGTTATTTTCCGTCCGACAAAGATGATAATGGCGGCCATAACGTATTTTTTACGACTTAAGCTTATACTCGTTACTTTTGGAATTGAATCCTACACACAGTCGTTTTTTAAAAAATATATATGTTATTTCATACATTTCTTGTATTTTGATATTTTTTGATAAACCTCCACCCCTATTTCCATATTTATTTGTTAACTTAAACCCGAACCCTACGTATTAAATTGTGTACAGAGATGAAACATGGGTCCTCGGTTTATGGCTGCAGTGCATAGTCTACCTTTGTCAAGCTACAGTGTACTCATTTTCCAGTCACGTGTGATATAATGTGAGGATCATTCCTTAACCTTGAACAGACAAACATCTAAGGTAAATTAGACTTAGCCTTGAGCACCAGACGTCTGCAGATAGGAGACAAACAAAGTTAAGATATCGATACCATAAATATAACAATACCTCTCAATCGACCTTACCTTGAAGGGTGTTGAAGTATACTCAAACTAAAAGAAATATGTAGTTTTATTTCAAAGGCTTCAAAGATTCTTCTGAATGAATCGTAATTTTTGGATAAGATATTTATCTTATGTTCACATACCTCAATTATCTTTATGTTTGTAATTTTCGTCTGGTGCCTTTTAAGGAATGACATCTTATGGTGAAAAAAGAAGTATTATTCTGCTTAACGGTATACTATGTTGTTATTCAATCGTTATGTACAAATACAATTATCTGCATCATACATCAAACAGAAATACTAATGCACAGAACAAAATGGCGCTCGTAGTTGTACAAAAGTGTTCAGAGTGTTCCATTTAACGCGCAAAAACTTCATTAATTTTCTATTGTCAGTAATCTTTTCCACAAAACAATTTCTTTATCCAAATAATAATGTAATCATTAACGTATATCTAATCAAAATGCTGATAATGTATGTATATCTGCAATATATGTAATGTTTAATAATGTTGAGTATCTTCTATTAATACACCAATTACTTCATTTGTTTCACAACAGAGAACTCGGGGACATCCGGTGTAATATTTATCGCCGGGCGCACAACTATGAGCCCTGGGTTGCATCTATTTGTCATTCAGAGAGCTAACTTATCGTGCACTGTACTCAACATTTTCGTTTATGTTGCACTCTCGAGTCTAGATAGCTTCCGTCTACAAAAGTGTAATAGCATGAGATGACAGACATGCTACTTAATTTAGTAAATTTTCATAATTTGCTGGTTCATAATTTAAATGATTTACGTAAAACTCTTATCCTAGGAAGTAAAATGAATTCAGCGCCACATGCATTTTTTTTTGAAATTGAAACAAATGTCACGTCGTAGATGAAATATTGTATCAGCAAATCTGGGTTACGTAACAGTTTTATCCGTTAGGTTTGAACAAAGATAGCAATGAACTAGTGATCTCGATAACATTATCACAAACTCTGCGCACATGAGTTTGTTTGGTTACTTAAGGGCGGTTAGGTAACACTCTGTTCTTAACATGATGTTGAATCATTCTGGGGTTTATAATATATCCCTCCATGAAAGTGTTTCCTTCCGATTGTAATAACATATATAACATATAACATATATCACTAGATGGAGATGCAATGCATTTAAAATTAAGTTATATTAGTAATGCATAGAAAGAATGTTTTATGTAAAAAAAAGCTTCACGGATGTATCAAACCTTTTAAGGGTTTCCATATAAATCTTTTCCTTTTTTAAAATCTTGCCCTTGTTTTATGGATGTTGTGTTTGAATTAATGTCTGGTTGACACTCCATTTTCAATTTCTTTTATTTATCAAGAAAACTGTCTTTACAGGATAAATAACACACTTTAAATGACGACTGACTTGGTTTTCTGAGAAATAATTTCCCATAAAAGGCAAATGATCTACTTTATAGGAAATATACTTAATATCAAGGGCATTTACCTTACTTTATAGAGAAATAACTTACTATCAATAAGTTTGAATTCTTACATGAACCAGATGACCGTTATCTCAACTATTATCACCTGACGTATACAATTGTAACCCAACCTTGAACAAAGACAATATGTGTTTTATATCTCAACCTTGACCATCACAATAGCTTCTAGAAGAAGCCACCTGTCCACATGTTCTTTGCATGCAAAATCATTTTAAGGAGTTAGAACCTATGTAATAGTGTTAAGATTTAGAACTACAATACGATTAGTCAATGATATTCCATTTCAGTACTCAGGATCCTCGTACCGATGCCTAAAAAGGAAATAATTAATTTGGTGACATTGTTTCGGGCGTGACAAATATATATATAATATATATAAATATATAATAATAACATGACATAAGCAAAACAAAAAAATAAACATCAGTGGTCTAAAAGAAAAAATGGAACTGGGCGATATCGGAATTCGAACCCATGACCTTCGATTAGTCCTTCGATGGTGTCTCGGTCAGATCAAACAACTGGGATAAGGGTCCTCAAAACAGATCTTGTTAAAGTACCTATTTGGTACATTGGGTGCAGTAAAGCCTTGGGTATTACGTAAAGACACAGCACGCCTGCGTGTTACACTCGTTGACATGGGCATCTAGAAGCCTTACATCAAATGATGTATTGGCACTTATACAATTCAAAGGCTTTCAAAGCGTCTGAGTGTTAGAATGAATGACGAGAATTTAAATAATGCAGTAAACATTCGTATCAATATGAAATAAATATTCTTATCAGTATACAAGGTCGATGACATAATATACAACTATTGACGTAAAATCAGTAGTACAGGTCTCAACCATGAGTTTTCAGTTATACAAATCATATGGTGTTTTTTTTAAAAAGATTTTCGAAATTTCTGAACATATTAGAAAAACTACGATTATACTCTCATAGTTTGCAGAGCTGTCGTCATATCAAAATTTAATTTTGTAGTCATACTCTAATTATTGAAATACCTCAGTAGCCTCAGCAGTCAGTATTGTTATTTTTTATCTGGCCTGTGGAGAGATAAAATCTTTGGGCAATTTGGATTTTATAGCAATTTTTTCTTTGTTGTATGTTGTATATAAATTTGTCATTTGAAACTTTATATTCGGGTTTGTGGATTACTTTTACTCCACCGTCCCTTCGGCTTAACTCTACACTTAGGACCACCAATGGTGGGCCTTGAATGCCTCTTTGTTTTATCCTTGTATACGGATATACCAAAATCTGGACCCGATAGTCAGGTCAATCTATAATTTACCATCAGAATAATTGCAACAGAATTGTTTTGTTTGCTTGTACCATGATGTACATCTCTATAATAACAGACACTGGAGAATATGTTCTTTTCTTGGAACCAAGAACATGATCAAACCAAATATGTTTCCGACCAACTTCATGTCATTTGTATATTCGTCTTGTGTAACATTGAGCATGATAAATTACAAGTAAGACCGACCAAAGTAGGATGTAGATTTACCGAAAGATTGCATTTCAACCATTGTGTTTGAAAATATTTAATTATAAAAATATTCAAACGCCTTCCCCAAGTTGAAGATATTCGCTTTTTTCATATTTAAATACAGAAATAAAAACACAAAGATGTTTTCTTGCAATAATCAGTACATGTATATGGGTCCATTAGAGTCCAACGCCCTTGTGGTTCCTAAAAAAAACCCGGTAAACGGTATCGCAATGACTTAAGTTATGATGGTTCCACAAAGAAACCCTGTGCATATGGCCAATGAGGTCGACATTCCTGTGGTTCTTTACAGTGTTCCAATACAGGATGCACTAGCGTCAGGATGTTTTCTCACAATATCACAATACGTAAGGATCCAGGCATTTTAAATATATATGACCATCCATGTCGAGGCTATGATTGTTCCTACAATGCTACCGTTCTACCAATTACCAATTCATCCAATGTATAAGAAATATTCACTGACATTTAGTATCAGTTGTATTTATTCTGTATTTGAAATTACCTCACGCATATCATCTCATCTCCCGATAAGCGCAAAAAAAATGGTATTTTATATGTAGGTATTGATGATACGGATAAATGAGATAACTCTGGGTAGAATTTGCTTAAAACCGTAATAGATTGTTTTAACCAATCTTTTACTCGGGATTTTGGGTTCAAAAGTGACACTGACGAATGCAACAATAATAATATTGTATATTCTTGACTAAAAACACCTTAAGTTTACCAGAAATATTTTCGGAAAAAATATAGTATGGTTCACCAAAGTTTTAATATTAAAGTAGCATGCTGAAGTTTCCCTTCAGGATTGTTCAACAGCTTTTAATTCCTGAAAAGGGGTCAGTAGCTAGCTGGCACGTATCGCGTTGAATGGAATCACGTTTCAAAACATTAAGCACGTGTTTTGAATTTGAAGAATTTGTTTATATATACTAAATAAACTTCCTGGTCAAGATTCAGAAATGTGTAGTTCCCTAACCGGAGGTCACTCGGTCACTGTGATATGTAGACGGACCAAGTTCATGTTCATATTTTCTTATTAACTGACCATCCCATGAGGGTTATAAATGGAAAACATAATAATAATAATAATAATAATAATAATAATATACAGCATTTGATATAGCGCCCTATCTAGCTAACATAAGCTACTCTAAAACGCTTTACAGTACAAAGATATACAACTCATACAATTACCATATATACATTAATCAATACAATTTTGAGGAATTCGCAGGAGCTGCCTTATCAGGCGCTAACTACTAGTCCTATGCCACCTGGCTAATAACTCTCTATGTGTTTATGCCTGCGTATGCTGGAGATTCCACTTGTATCAGTAGAGTTGGCAGAATCCCGAAATATAAACGACTGAGTGCATACCATGAAATGTAGAAATTAATATGCATGGATTTAAAATAAAAAAAAAAAAGAAATACGTATCATAGCATATACTGCTCTTTTGAATGATATAACGTTCACTCTCAGATACGTGTCTATACATGTATACATATGATAGAATTCAACAGAGCAGAATCGGGCTTGTAATTAATGGTTTCTGTCCGTCGTTAATCTAAGGAGGACCTGGAATGAATTCCCATTATATTTGGGGTTTTATACCACGGGTTTCATTAAACAGCAGACGAAGTGGGAAGAAACCAAGGTTTTATTATAATATGATTTACCTTTTTTATGTAAAGCAGTATATTTTGACATAAATCTAAAAACAAGATGGATTAAAACACTGTAAACGTTTAAAGTAAATAGGTGAAGACTTATATTTGTTTCGTCACAGTCTATTTTTCATTACACTAAACCATAGTAACTTCTATTTTGCAGTGCTTGATGCCAGCGGCAAGCCTACACCGGGGCTCTTGAAGGGTAGTCTACACATGATGGGTTCTTATGACGAATGTTTGGCCATAAAAGCTGATCTTCTTACCGAAGAAAACACGACCAGATCCTTTGGGGGTCGTTATTGTCGAGTAGCATTTGATCTACCTAAATCCCTTCTTGTGTCCTTATTGCCAAATCTTGCTACACAGGTAAACATTTCATTTGGCGTTCGTTTTAATTATGAAAAAGGGATACTAGTATAACTCCGATGAATCATATTAAGGACATGTATACCATGGAATAAAAGATATGAGGGAGTTCGGGAATCATCACTCTGTCAGTTACTATTCAATATTGTTGTTTCCACAATTTCTATGGTTCGTTTATTTTGAAACAGACGATCAGTCGTTAGCCCCACCCCTCTTTCAGGTCCGACCTGGACCCGGTACTAAATTGATAAACATTCAAACATATGTCTTGCTTACCTAGACTATTCTGTCCCTCGCGTAGTTTTTAATGATTTACTATGATACCAGTATACGTTAAACAAGACGCAGACAAATGACAATCCATCTCACATTTTAATTTCCATTTATCCTGCTGTTGATATTCGGTTGACAGTTAATACACAAATCAAAGTATTATACTAAAAGCAATTTTGGGAAAATTATGTTAGAATAAAAGATACAGGTGGATACTGCTCTATGCAATAGTCTTTGGTGGCTATTCTCTGATTCTCAAAGAAACTAGTATCCCAAATGCGAAATTCTGTGTATATAATGATAACGTGTGCTTTTTGTTGATGACGTTTAAGATTTAATGTACATTTTATTTCTATTGTTATAGTTTACACCGTTATAAAATGTTCGAAAGGTTAATGAGTTCATTCCGTCACTAAAACATAACATGCATTAAAGAATAGGTTCCTTGTTACAGAAACTGTACGGCATGAAAACAACTGTTAGTATCGGTGTTTGTCTCCCGGACAGCTGTGTTTCACAAGATGTGAACAATTTCTTCGAAAATGGTAAGTGTTTCAAACAAAACAAGAACTTCATTGAGGAACGTCTGAAAGCATTGCTGCACACATAACTTAACTGTTAAATGAACCGATGTATTATTTTTTTAACCGAGAAGCGTAAATATTTCCATTTTTGTTAACGTTTGCTAGGATTTCGTTCTTTTAGTTGTATCTATTAAAACTCTATATTTAATGCGCTGCCGGGTCTAGCTGTGAAGTAAAATTGTTACCGAATAACATTGCCGCATTTTTGTCATCTTCCTTTCATATGTCTTAATCAGTGATAGGACATATTCAATAACGTTCAAATTAAGATGCAGCACATTTCAATAATAAAACAATTCCACATGGAGATAATAAAAAAAACCTTCCACCCAGAGGTGTATAAGTAAAATCAACATCTGTCCAATGTTTCTGTGTTACGTTCAAAGGGATGGCATCCGGACTCGGATTATCTCCCTTGAGTGTGACTTGTAACGAATCAGAGGATCTCGCCAGTGATCAAAGCGCAATCCTAGTTCTGTAAGTAACTGTGCTATTTGAATTTATATCCCGTTTTTATTAATGTAGTTATATGTGAGTCAAAGATTATTTTACAATGACAAAATCATGAATTACGCGATGTTGTTCTCCTTATATATGATTTCCAATAAACCTTTATGAAAGTTCAATTAGAAACTAAGACAATTTTGTCATTTTGTATATTTTCATAAGTGCTAAAATTGAAAATTAAAAATGAAATTGAAGATTGATTAACATTTTATTAAATTTGACGTATTGTTAGACGAACTTCAATACTTGGTGTTCAATTTCAACTTTACACTGGACTAGAATCATTGATATTTAAAGAATATACAAATAAATGAATGAATAATTACAATAACAAGTAAGTAATGTAAAATACAAGGTACATCCATAGTATGTAAACATACTTATAGTGATATTTGTAATAAAAAGGAACACTGTATATATTTTTTATCAATAACACCGGACCATATCTTCCACAGAGCTATTTCAGCGGCGATAATTTTGCTGGTTGGGGCAGCAACAATTACTCATCTGTGCAAGTGGGGTCGTGGACAGACGAATGGCATGCCGAGTGGAATGCGCATGTACGAGGATTACAATAACCATGGTTACGACGCTTACGAATCGGCTGACCCCGATACAGATTCCAAGACAACGACCACTACCACCACTACCACCACGTCCTTCAGCAATGGGTCTGTGAAAGGGGATTTGCTTTCTGAATCGACGAAACTGAAAAATCGACCGGAAACTAAAACAGACTTAGATCACCAAGCGAATGGCTTTGATGACTTAAACCGAGTCGAGTTTACGAAAACATCAGGTGAAGCCTTATTATTGCTTGAATGTTATAACAGACCCCATTTACCTTAACACAAAATGAATCCAAAAGTATTGGTGTATTCTAACATTCCTATTTACATCAACACATGATAAAACCATCAGTAATTGTTCATGCAATTTTGTGCCAGCAAAGACTGCATCGTCGACATTCAAACATTCCGCTATGCATTTACACCTATCTCCTTTGGACCTTTGGATCGAGTATGTCTTGACAAAATGGAAGGTTAAATGGAAGCCATTTCATCAGTTTCAGACATAAAAACTGACCATTTGGTAGCCTGATACATTATAGAGGAACTACTCAAGAATTAAAATCGGCCTATTTTACCAATGTGCAGGCGCACGATTACTTTTTGTCTTGTATCAACAGAAGTCGACTCGTTTCATCGGCAAATTGGCGCGTATACAGTTATCGATGTCAACATGTTACATTACAAAGGTTAAGAGAAGTCATGTATATTAAGAGTGAAAATATATTATTTTGGAGATGATTAGACAAGTCAATTTTGATATTTTCAGCTTTTTTTGTCCCTTTTTTTTTTATTAAACTGCTACATCAGATCGCGAACTTAACAAAGAGCAAATAACATTGCAAAGACAAAATATAAGGGGCGGTTATAGTTAACTGTTCTAACGAAATTCTGTTCCCGTCATCATCAGAATACATTAATGCTTAAAACAAACATCAATATCAATATATTTACGATAATTATGCAACCGGTTTTATTAAGATGTGTTAGGATTAATCACAAGATATCCAATGAAAGTATTTCAAAAACATTCTAAATGAGATATCCGCAAGAACCTTTTTGGTTTAACAAATTGTAAGAAAAGGAACAATCTTCTTGAAAATGTGGTTTAGCATTGAATGTAAACACTTTTAAAAATAGACTCGATAGGCATTTGGAAAACCAGGAACTTCTATAGTTATAAATCTGAGATACGTTAATTGTCCAAGTAACGTCACATTCATCCATTTTTTAATATTATAGTAAAACGATTTTGAGTCGGGTGTAGAGGATCTTAATATATCATATAACGGTAAATAAACTTTACTAAAGTTAACTTAACTTAGCTTAACTTATTAATTGGTGAATGATATCCATCTTGTTTTCAGATATTGGAAAACGAATCGTGTTGAGTTTCTCTGCTGTACAAAGTATTAGCCAACTGATGTCGTACAGACGAGCAGCAAACGCCATTGACTGTATACACGGAATTCGAACCATTAGTATATTATGGATCATGCTTGGAAATACGTACATCTACAACATTCTACCCGTCACAGACAGTCCTTTGGCAGGTAAGTCAAAAATCCCATCTACGTAAACATTTTACACACCGCACAGGATCGGGAAAATTAAAGGTCTGATGTAGCCAACAGCATATTTCACTATTTATGTTGGCATCCGCTCCCTACGGAATTGGAGATGGTTCTGTTTACATATCTACTGTATTTCGGGTCTTGTGAGAAACCAAGAATACATCTGCTGTATCCCACTGAATTTGTATCATAAAAGGCGACGGATGTCGGGCCTTCTTCAGAATCGGGGTTGTTCGTCGTGTGTGTCCATCTGCTACTGGAATACGGAAAACACCACCAACACTGATTTGCTACATTTCCTTTTCTGGCGGTCTCATACGCATCCGTCTTCGTATGACCGATGCGGTCGCAAGGGGGGCCGCGTTGGCAAAGTGGCTAAGGCGTCTGACATTCTGCTACCACTTGTCCTCCACCACTGGGTCGCGGGTTCGAGACCTACGTGGAGCAGTCGCCAGGTACTGGCCGTAGGTCGGTGGTTTTTCTCCGGGAACTCCGGCTTTCCTCCACCAATAAAACCTGGCATGTCCTTAAATGACCATAGCTGTTAATAGGACGTAAAACACAATCAAACCAAGCGGTCGCAAGGGCGTAAAACCATGATAAAAAGTTGACAGTCCTCTGTCAGGTATGACGTCACTCTTACCCACATACATAGTATTACACACCATACTCAGTCTGCTGGCAGGTGGTGTCAGTCGGGTCATATTAACACATGGAGGTTCCAATTTAAGGATTCCGCCAATAATTCACTAGTATTTCACGCAGTTCTTTACAAATCAGACCTGTAATGCTGTGAATCATATACAGTTTGTTTAAATGAAGATGAACGTCCTTGCCAAAGATTTGTTCATATGAAGAAGGGAAATTATTTACAGCTTTTTGATGTAAGATTTATTATAACTGAATATAACATAAAATATAAACAATGTCAACATTTACGTTTTCATTTTTGTTTTCGTTACATAACATTTGTTATTTGAAAAAAATAATGTCATATGACCCATTGTTCACATTTAAAACTTGTATATTATTATTTGAATAGTCTTGCATCACAAAAAGACAAATCTGCCTTGCAATTCCACAAGTAGTGTGTATAGCCTATGGATATTGCTTAGCTATCTTACGTTTAGTGTCAAACTTGACGAGTTGTGCCTAGCTAGCTCGTGAGTAGCGCCTTTCTAGAGTAGGAATGGCACCTAGCTAGCTGAAGAGTAGTACCTAGCTTGAATTGGAATCATACCTAGCTACCCTAAGATGACTACATAGCTAACCATGGAACAGTGGCTTTCTTTCCTAGCAGCAGAGCTAGACTAGCCCAGGAGTAGTACAAAGCTAGCATACGTGCAGTGTCAAGCTTGCCTACAATTGGTACACAACTATTATAGTGATAGTAATCAATGCTTGAAGTTATTTATATGTCTATTTGTGCCGTTAACATTGATGAAGTATTTTGTACACCTTCCTTTCAGTCGACATGCTTGACGCTTTGGAAATCATGAAAAGATTCACGTTCCAAGCTGTAATGGGTGCCCATTACGGAATCGATACATTCCTCTTGATCAGGTATGCATACAAAAGTGAAACTACGAGCCTTTAACGAGGTTACCAGTTATCCCAACTTACATGAAACTTAGATAGTGAATAAGTCTGGACGTTAAACCTTACTTTGTTTGGGTTTAAATAGAGCTTGAAATGGAAAAAACAAAAGAGAGAGAAATCCATTTCTGAAATCACTGTTAAGATTTGTCTTTGTTTTAACAATATATCAGCTTTTTATGATATCTTGTAATGAATGTACTATTTATGTCCATCATTTTACTTAAACGGAACTTTATACTAGTACTATCTTTAATGCTAATAGTACTGTAAATAGTCCAATCGCTAAAAAAAATTATTATACAAAATCACAGAAAAAAAATCTTTTATGGAAACATCTTCTTAACAAATGAATACACAGCAAAAGTAGTATGCCAATATATCGGATTGTCCATTGTCATTTACTGTAATGCAACTTGCAATGCTAGGTTAACGCTAACTTTAAAAAGGTTTTGTTCTTTTTCAGAAGAGTTACAGGTAAATTAAGCTGTCATTTTTTCTTGTTTACATTGTATGGTTTATTACACTATGTTTTCATTACAGTGGCTGTCTCATTACATACAGAATTTTGTCAAAATTCGAGAAATTTGAAAAGTTCAAGTGGAAAACTCTGCTCGGTGTATTTTTCCATCGATATATCAGGTATGTATGCTGTTTAGTTATGTCAATAGATAAAAAAAAGATCGCCTGCAAATTGCATGATTCATTATAGTAATGTATTTGTTGATGAATTCCTCCCCTATATCATAACATTATATTACAGACTGACACCAACTTACATTATGGTTTTGGTGATATTTGTGTACTGGTATCGTTACCTGGGCACCGGACCCAGTTGGCCTGAGAGTATTGCCGTGGCTGACAAGTGTCGAACAGACTGGTGGCATCACATTCTTTACATCAACAATCTCGTTGGTATCCAAGGCAACGATGCATTCCATCAGGTGAGTTTTCGAAATAAACAATTAATTTCTATTGTAACAACCAAGGTGTACGAGCCGAAAATCCTGTCTTACTGGCTAGCTAGCTTTTCAAGCGATACTGTATATTTTTTTGGACACTTGTTCATCAACGTCGAGAGTGGTCAGTGGCTGGATGGCTGACCGCCCGAACATTACAATAACATAACACTAACATCGAATCAACATTCGCATGCTTGATCCGTTTTACACTTCTGCAGTATATTAACAATACGAATTAAGGCAAAACCGAGAAAGATATATATTTTTAATAATTATTTCGCTACAACACTAAGATAAATGACAGTCATTTCCAGTAAAGTAGCTACACTGTAGTGACCTTTACGATAATTCTATTGTTTAACTTTAATTAGCACGCTTATGTTTTAAACAAGATGCAAGAACGTTATATGTTAGGTGTTGACTTAATCTTATAAAAATAGAAAAATAAGTGATAGCAGCAGAAACAAAATTGAATATCCAGTAAAAAAAAAGCTAGTATCTCATAGAAATAGAAAAAGTAAGTGATACCTGTAGTAGCAAAACAAAATTGAATATTCAAAAATTGGTAGCAAGTGTATGGTTAACCAATTGTCATGATGACAGTTGCTGTAACCAAAGCCTCATTTCAGTAATGATACACTACCAATAGATAAATAATTTAAGAACAAAAGGTTATTTGTGTGCGGTGTAAACATGTATGAAAGTCGTCTTTATCCACCAAATTTAACATTAATCTGATTATATATTTAATGCAGTGTAACCATTGCAAATATTTTAAATAGTTTCTACACCCTGAACGCCCGAACTGTATCAATCACTTTGCTAGAATGTATTATCAAGCGGCATTGTATTAAGTTATCACAGGTGTCTACAACTATTGGCTGGAGAACGTTCGCGCCAGTTTGTTTTGATGCAACTGATTAATACGCTATGCCGGGATAAAATCAACTTTATTGCTACATCTGTATCCTTAATGATGGCGAAAATTGTCACGAGAACGAATATAAGTTCACAGCCTACAATATGTAGGGAGTGTATGAGAAGACAAAACTTAACACTGGGCGAATACGGATTCCCACATTGAAGGGCTAATAATTGACTCGGTGAATTTTCCCCGGTATATAGGGTCTATTTGTCGGTAAAGACCACCTCTTAACAAAAAAGTTTTACTTAGAGGGTTTGACATGGAATGTCCTGCTTCCTTATGTCATGAATATTTCTCTACAAATATCTTATTATGTCTAACAGTGTATGACGTGGTCCTTCTTCCTGGCTCTTCTTATGCAGTTTTACTTGATAACACCGATATTGTTGTTACTGGCGACCTTGTAAGTATCATCACTCTGGATAAAAGTACATTGATATCATAGTATACTACTAAATGAATGTAGACTTTCTGTCTCGTAGAAGGCAAGCAATGATAAACATAAAAAAGACTCTCATGCAAGGTCAAGTAAAATAGACCTGAAACAGGGAAAAAGAAACTAGCTATATCCCGAAATCTCATACCTAAACTGTTTAATTATATACTATAAAACAGGTGCTATCATTTCTTAAAGCAATATTCCAATCTCAGCTTCTTACAACAATGTAAAGATCCTTATTTATTCAAATGTCATCTGCATTGTTGTTTCAAGATCGGTAAGAAATGGGTGAGGTCTGATCAGTTAGGTGCTGTCCATCTCTAACCTTACTAACACATTTACAGAAAGAGGTTACGGAAATTGCCGAGGGAGTTAGTTTACTGGGGTGTTTTAGTTAATGGACTAACTGCCTGGATGATAGAGTCAGAGCAAAAGTGGGAAAATATAATCTATTTAATGAATGACGATCATATACAGTGAATAAAGTAGAGGTTTATAAAAACAAATATAGCATTTTTTTCATATATTAAACCTTTGTTTTAATCAATCATATATTGTGTGATGTCCACACAGTTCGTATCGTCTGGCTGGCGCAGTGATATTCCTTCTAATGGCAGCTGGCATCACTGCAACAGGGATTAAGGAACATGAATTTGGAGGTGACCTTTTATCGTAAGTAACTTAACACGTCACATCACGTTATGGCAATAGTTTAACTAAGCATCAAACAACTACAACATGTATGTTAACAATAAGAGTCAATTAGAAGCAGTTAGCAATATGTTGGGGATAGTTATATTGACATTGTGAAGAAACGTTTGTATTGAATGCTGTTCGCAAGATCCTGAATTTATTTACGACATAATACTCTGATATTTCAGTTATTTCCCTATATGCTCATAGTATTTACACTTGTTGTATACTTGGTGAAGTTTATTAGTATTTCCGTTCTCAGTCGAGAAAACAGTCCAGGGATATTGATCATAAAATAAGGTAATTCAATACTACCCTATCATAATGTTACAAATATCCATACCGCTATTTTTCATAGGCTTCGAATTTATATGGTGTGCCATGTTTTTGTCATTAAAACATCCCATACGTAAAACAACAGAGAACTTCATATAATTTATCCGTCAAGTATCTAAAACCAGCTATTTCAGTTGATATCGATAGGAAACATGGCATCATCAATATTGCAGAAGCAATACTTTACTGAAAACGCATGATTGCTTAAACATAATAAACATGTTGTACATATATAAATATTTATATTCCTATCTTACAGCGCACGGATAAAGAAAAGCCAACTTAAAACTATAAAATGTATATATTTACCGATCATTTAACTGAAACCGGCCGCAAAACCATTGGTGAAAAGGTTTCTTTAAATTGTATCATGAACCGAAAGGAAAAAAATGGTTAGAGAGGACACCAAGACCATGTTGTTGTTGTTGTTGTTTTGAACGGCACTGTGTTGTATGTCATAAATCATGCTTTTTATCATTCAATAATATTTAGAATTGTGAAAAGTTGTAAAAACCTAAAATAATGTCAATGATTTGATATTATTTAAAAATGAAAATTTGATCTCTCCCAGAATGATGGAGGACCATGGTGACTACTGGAACAACGTTTTTGTCGCCCCCTGGTGTCGAATTTCCTCATACTGTATCGGGATGATGCTTGCTCTGGTCATCATGAAGAGCAATGAAGGAAAAATCAAAAAGTTACCATTGGTAGGTGAACTAGATCGGTCATCTAAAAGTTTTTATGAGGGGTTTTCAACAAAAATAATGGAAAATTATATTTGGTTTGAACAATCAAATATCGATGTTTTTAAAAGTGTCTTGCTTATTTTAAAAGCATTGCATATCTTGGTATCACTATTAATTGCGTATAATACGTTGGTACCTGTCCGTGTTTTCAAAAAAAAACCAATAAATGTTTATATTTAGAAAGAAAAAAAAAAGAAAAGAAAAAATGTCTTTCGGATATAGTTGAAGCAGCGGAATTCGGCCAGCGAACTTCCTCTGATCCGGAAGCTTATTTTATCCTTATCCTTGAGTATACAAATCGGTAATGATCATACATTTTAAATAAAAACTCTCGTATTATTGTTTACTTCCAGTGGAGTGCGACTATTGGTTGGATTACCGCCATTATAATAGGCGTGTTTGTAGTTTACATAAACTACACCAAGTATCAACCTGATGTTGAAGAATGGACCAGAGATATGGAGGCGGCCTACGAAGCTATTGGCCGACCACTGTGGTGCCTCTGTGTTGCTTGGGTCATATACGCCTGTTTCACTGGACGAGGAGGTAGGTTTGAACAGATGTAAATGGCTAAACTAGTCGAAATGCTTTGATTTAAATGGAATTTTGAAATTTCGCTATCAGGTAAGCTGGAACGACTGGGAAAGTTTTTTTACAAATTTACTTCAAGATTCAACATGCCCCATAAAAGATGACATACACTCCCTAAACTTTAATCCCTTGATTGGTCATTTTTCATACAGGTTTGAAGCGCTGGTACATATCCACGTCTTGTAAAATAGAGATTAAGCTCCTCATGACCTAGGTATAAAGATAAATTGAAGATAATATGTTATTTCGTAGCATCCATCTTTATCACAAAAAGAGACTGGAATGTCATATTGCTGGTGAACTATTTGTATGAGGGATTCCGCCTTAATGACTTAAATCAGATTTAGCTAACGTCGCTTTGAACCATTTTAATCACTAAAATACAAGTTGAATACATTCAACATATTACATGTATATTTGCATATCTGAGTTCAAATGTTTAATTAAGGTCTTCGAATATGACTTACCTTACTTTCATTTACGTATCAATATATTCTCGTGCAAGTAGACTGTATGTCATAAATTAAGGTGAAAACACCCCCTTATGTGGGTTCATAGTCTTCATTAACCGGACGTAAAGTTTATTTCTACCTATCTACTTTATTCTAGGACTGATTAACTCTTTCCTATCTTGGCGTGGATTCCTCCCGCTGTCTCGGCTCACGTTCGCCGTATATCTTGTACATCCGATCTGGATGGTTTTCTTCATGTACACGAAACGAGATCTCGTCTATCTCCTCAACGACTATGGCATGGTAAGCTATTTACAAAATATCTATTTACAAATGGACCTTTAAAGATAAATGTTGGAGTGCTGGAATGACTGTTGTTATAGATAGAATATTTTCTGCACGTATTATGTCTATGTGAAAAGATCTTCATTTTGGGAACTTGGATCATTTTCATTGGTAAATAAAATAACGTGATTTACAATATTTTCTGAAATGAATATCGATTTACAAACATTTAAAAAAATGAATCTCTTGTTCATACAATCAAATTAAAAACTACCTATTTCTTAATTACACGACATAATTTCCGAATGCAAGTATGCTTTCAGGACTCTCACAACCTAATAGTTTACTAAATGTTATTACTTGGCAATCCTTCAGAAGGAATTGTTTACATGTTTAATGGCATATAAGAGCACTACAGGTTTCTGCTTTTGACAAACGGAAGTTTACAAGCTGGACGGGTGAAGCGGGACGAGAACGCTTCCTGATTTTGTACCCGATATAAACCCGCCCTCACATATTAAAATCTACTAAAACCATATTTTTTTCCAAGGTTAAATATCTGTAAATGTTATTCAATAAAAATTCTGTCACAAATTACACATTTTAATTACTCGGACACAATGGAATAAAGCGGAATAAGTTTTAGGCAGGGATTACGATTGTATCAAACACTCGCTGATTGGCTATTCAGCTGTGCGAGTCCTTACCAGGGATTCAACATTTCGTGATGATTACTTAGTGATTTAATCGACAGTTATCCCATGAATAGTCAGTCACCCTTTGTAAATTTACTCTGATCAAACTGTATCATTCAGCGACGAACAAGTCACGATATTTTTTTTATTTTTTTTTTTTTGATTTTTTGATTACTTCCAGACATATCATACACATGAGGAACCGTCTGAGGATGGAATACAACAGTTACCGTCCTTTACATTAATACACTCTTAATTAAGCATACATTTTCAAGTTTTATCATGATTAATATTCTTTGCAACTCTGTTCTGCAAGAAGGATTTGAATTAAAATATATGTATCTAATCTTTTTTGTTGCAAAATAACCAGTTTATCATTAATTTAAAATTTGGTTCACAAACATAACTTGCATAACATATGCCTAGAAAGATAAATATACAAGAAAATGACTGGAATTAATTGAAACGGGGTTTGGGTGATAGTTTGCTTAAAAAGTAGAAATTTATCCAGAAAAGAGGGACAGGAATAAGAGAGACAAAAGAACAAGAAGAGAGGAAGAGAGATTCCCGACGAAAGCAATAATTATTCATGAAAGGGTGCTTATTGTAAATATATCAGCAAATGAAAAAAAAGGAAGAAATACAAAACTTGCTAAAAGAGGAGAGTAAAAAAATAGATTGGTATATGTATGTATCTATATATATATATATATCTAATTATCTAAAAACTATATGAAAGGTGCTGAAATCTTTGATAAAAGATGCTTCCCTGTCATATTTTTTTGCTATGTATCTTTCGATAGAGTATGCTGTTTTTAATTTACTGATTAGAGTAGGTAGGTAAAGCTCTTTGCAAAAACACTTTTGACAATATATGTAGTGTTTCATATTAAGAATTATGACATTTTCTGCCCTGTTATTCTGATTTTGATTTTGTGTTATTTTCCCAAAAATAAAATCCTTTTTTCATATATTAAAAGTCACATTACAAGTAGTTTGGATCCATATTTGGAAAGCAAGAATAAAATTTTGGACTTTATTACATTCCCATAGTATATGCTGAATAGTTTCTTTTTCTATGAAGCAAAAATTGCACATATCAGACTGAACCAAATTAATCTTTTTCAAAAAGGAGTTTGTAACTAAAATGTGATGATTAATTCTAAATTGCAGCCATTGTAATTTCGAATTTGTATTTGTGTCAAAAGGTAGTTTGTATATTTTCTTCCAATCCTCACTTGGTATATTTCCAAATACATTATTCCACTTTATTTGACCTGTGGGCACTACACTATTTTTGTTCAGCACATTATACATATCCTTTGTACCTTTTTTTATGTTTGATAATTATATTAATATACAGTGGTATCAATGGTAGTGTAAGTTTTTTTTCAAAAGTCCAGCCTAATTTTCTTATTGCAAAAATGAGACCATTATAATCAATAAAGTTAGTATTTAAATTAAAAATATCATTAAATTCATTATGTTGAAGGAAACTGCCATCTTCCTTAATTAGATCATTTATGAAAAACACACCTTTATCAAACCATCGCTTATAATATACAGTATTATTGCCTATTTTGATTAAGTCATTATACCAAATAGGTAAAGATAATACTTGATATTTTAGGAAAATCTTGACGAAGGGCTAATCCCAAAAACTTGGAAAAAGAGTGATGTTTTAGTTTGTTAATATTCCTGGACCCTTTTGTCCTTCATCTACAAAATCTAAATTGGCTGTTATGATTTCGCCCTTCTTATGCTATAACCATATTTGTTATTCTGTTATCTAATATTTATTGTCAAGGTCAATTCGCACTTAATGCGGAGGGCAAACATCAAGAAAGTCCCAAGAAAAATTTCCAAGAAAACGTATTTCGGTTCTCAGTACAGAAGTTCATATTCCTTGATATCAGACACAGGCTATACAGTGACGACATACAAGTAGTTAATTATGCTTTTTTCTTCTACAGACGTACTTGTTCATCGGGCACAGTGTGATGTCCTTTGGAATTGCTTTCCTGGTCGCTGTTTTGTTCGAGAAGCCATTCTGCAATCTGGCCAGGGCAGTTTTTAAGAACAAATGAATACGTACACGAAATATTGAAGCAAGCAGCTATAGACACTGGCTTTCATAAAATGAAAATTAATTCAATATTGTTGATTATCACTTGACACTGACTTGACTCTCACTCTCACTCTTTTTTTTGTCATTCAAATGATTTTTGGAATCACAAGTGCGCTATATTGTAGTAATACCAGCATAATATACTATATGTGTATTTTTTGCATATTTATTTCACATGTTTTCTTCGTGAAAAGGTTTAAAAAATGTAGTCATTTGCACTTTGAAATCGATTTGCATCATCCTCATTAATTTATAGATGTTATATTTTGAAATGATTTGGATCCCTGTGTCCCAATGTGCTGTTAATTTTCCAATAAACAGTAACTTCCCCTTTACTTCCCCTTGTATGTTACAGTAGCAAAGTTTGGCCAGGATAGAAATGATTTGTATTCCGTTCATTAAGGATTCCTGTGTCCCACTGTACTGTTGATTTTCCTATTAACAGTAACTTCCCCTTGGATGTTACAGTAGCACAGCTTGGCCAGGATAGAAATGATTTCCCATAGCCATCGGTATGCCGGAAAATAATTTCCAATACTTAGCTACAGTGATTGGAAGTTGTACGGGAATACTTAGTGTTAATGGAAACAAATATCAGTATTAATGGACTAATTGCTGTTTTAAGCATTTTTATTTTCTTTCACGTTATAACTTATTTCATTTTGTCATGAACATTTCTAAAAAAAAAAAAAAAAAGAACATAAAAATATGACCTCTCTATATAGAGCATGCACCAATGCCCAGCATACAAGTGACTGATGCTTTGCATAATGATATAAACAAACGATGTTGTGCGATTTCTTTAAAAATCAGTGAAAGTAGTGCAGTGCATTACAACTGCTAACATAGAGAAAAGATTATTGGTAAGCTAGTCCTCGTTATGCATCTTTAAAAGATATTTGTTATAGAAGGTTTGCATATGAACGGAACTGTTAATTCCGTTATAAATTCAGGTTTAGAGAAAAATCGTGTCCTGACATGGTCATACAATGTTAGCCTAGTATTTATTTTGCTTTAACTGATGTAGGATGTATGTACGTGAAACTATCATAAATATGAAATTATCTAATTAATCTTAACCATATCAGTAACATTCCTTGTCCCACTGCAGACATAACAGGTTAGAATTGCACTGTAGTTTCTCGTACATACAGCAACCTCCTCTTATTTTTTTTACATACATGAAGCTCGACTTGGCATGGATATTTCCGTTGAGCAGGAAGCTTAATTGTATAAATCGACGGTTTATAGATCCGAGGTCCTAGGTTCAAATTATTGTCGACCCCCGCTGCTTTTTTGAACACTCAGATCACTGATTATTATCATTATTATTAGTTCATCTTTATTTTGTTCATAAATTGTCGTATAGGTACAGTTTCTTTTTGAGAAATGATTTATAAAAGCTGTAGTTGTGCAGGAAAAAAAGTTTTAAACACATAGTTACAATTAAGGCAGTGGAGATCCTTAAAAATGTCTAAGGATTAACTGGTTTAGTTGTGTGTTTCATTTTTTTCTGACTGTTTCGTTGTATTGAACCAAGTGCTTTAATATAACCAGACATAACATCATGCCAGGTATGCATTAATAAACTATTAAAATCGTTGTCTGTTTAGTTCTTTTATCAGTTCAATTTATCATACCACTGTTTGCTGGAGTCTGGGAATCGACTCAACAAGACTGACTGCTTTAACGATCATACCCTTATGGTTTTAAAAGAATTACATCTAGTATACTCACCCCAACCAACCCATGTGAACGCTGGTAAAGTGAACTTTTGAATTAGGAAAAATAAAAGCTAAACCTAAAAGCCAAACACCGCCGGTCAATCAAAACATGATAGTAACAAGTACTAATTGTAATGGGGGACCATTGCAGATGTCCCCCAAATTGCCCACATAGTGGCAAAGATGCACCAGAAAAGGTTCGCAATGCCATAATACACTTACAATATACATACTAAATTTAAGTGAAATCGAACAATATATAAATTTCGACCAATCAGAAGCCTCTATGTGGTTGCTGTTTGGTTGCTGTGTGGTTGCTTTGGCAAAGATACATATGTGGTTGAAATCGCAGTCCCCTAATACCCCTATATACCAATTTTCATAAAAATAGAACAATATCTAAAATTGAACAATCATTTCGACCATTCATTGGCCAGGAAATGGCAGCCATTTTGCTTAATCACAAAACAAAACACCGCAGTTGTATTCATAGTGCCATACTACACCTATGCACCAAAGTTCATCCAAATCGGACAGTTTTTTAATTTTGACCAATCAGAGGGAAAATACGATGGCCATTTTGTTGAAATGTGAAATCTAAGCTACGGAAGTGATCATTGTCCTTTGATACACCTGCATACAAAATTTGATCGAAATCCGACAATATTTAAATTTCGGACAATCAGAGCCCAGGAATTGGCAGCCATTTTGTTTAATCACAAAACAAACCCGGCAGTTGTATTCATATTGCCATACTACACCTATGCACCAAATTTCATCCAAATAGGACAGTACTTAAATTTTGACCAATCAGAGGGGAAAAAAGGCGCCCATTTTGTTGAAATGTGAAATCTAAGCTACGGAAGTGATCATTGTCCTACGGTACACCTACATACTAAATTTGATCAAAATTGGACAAGATATAAATTTCGACCAATCAGAGGACGGAAATGGGGGCCATTTTGTTGAAATGTGAAACCTAACTTACGGAAGTGATCATTGTCCCGTGATTCACCTACATACCAAAGGGCCTGTTTCCAGTAATGTTAATTCTCCATAGGAGCCTGCCCCCGTATAATTTCTTATCTAGCTCAACTACTGGTTTTTTTCTTTTCCGAAGAATAATTTTACACCTTTCCGACACCCAGATTTCATAATTTCAGTGAAAATGTATTTTTATAAAGTTGTCAATTTCAGCATCAAAGACATAAGTTCGTAAATAAAAGAAGGTTATCTCGAAATTGTAATTCGCAACATAGTATAAATTTCTTTTGATAAATATTTCCAAAACATCGTGTTTATTCATAAAACATAAAAAAAAATATTTTCGGATGAAAATGCACTTGCAGAGACACAATTATGAAGAAAAATGCCATAAAATTGCAATTTTCTCCCGTTATATAGTTTTGGATGCAAATTTCCATCAGAAAATCGGATAGAGCTTTACTTGTTTCATATGTGTACCAAAAATCAGCTAATTCCATGTGGTGGAACGTTCTCATATCGCCGCCTGAATGTGGTTGTAAATTGAAAGAAAAGGGGAAATGAGTAACAACCTTGTCTGAAACCCTATTATATAGCTTATTATATACAAACTTTTATATTGAATATCAGAGCGGATATTTTCATGACAGTTTTATGATGTGTAACGACTAAATAAACAGTATCGATATAAAGATTTACACTGAGGACACCCTGATACATGAATACTGTTCTATCTCAAGTTGTCCTCTTCTGAATTTTCTGATCGTGTGGCCTTGTACATTTATCCGTATCTTCTTGTCTTTGTCTATACGTTTACGGAATCATTGACTCGACGCTAGCTATTCTTGTCTCACTTTCCTTGTTTTATTGTCCCATCTCCAAAGCGTTGTGGCTCTGTCAGGGTTGGGACCCTGACTTGTCTCACTTTCTTTGTGCCTGCCGACCACGCCACATCGAATAGATAGATTATCCATATGAAATACTTTATTTTGTTCTAAGTAATCAATCAATTCTGCGCTTCTTGGAGGTATTGAATGTGATTTATTATATTGTCTTGTTATTTTGTGTAATTAGTTGTTCGTTATTTATCACACATTTTCGCATAATTGTACCAAACTACTAAGTATTAGCTGTTTACAGCAATCATCGGTGGCTTGCTATTTTGTTACTTTATCGACGCTTCATAAACCAATCGTTATTGTTTCAAGATGGAGGGTAAATGTGTTGGAGAAGGGTGTCAAGTATACTTCAAGAAACGTAGTGGCAATAAGAACAGAAGTGCACGCAATGTAAATAGTCCACAATATAAATGGCTCCTAGATACGCTGGTGCAACAAGGATTGATGTCAGCAAAGGAACAAGCACTTATTTGCCAGAAGTGCTACATGAAGTATCTTCGGAACAAAAATCAGCCTGAACCTGAACCCGAGCAGAACCAGGAAATAGAGGAAGAAGACGACTCCCCGTCCCATATCCTGCCGTTGCTGACCCTTCATGATCTTTTGAATGGATCATCTTCACACAAAAAATGCTGTCTCTGTCTTGTTACCTTTGCAAGAAATGGAACAAAATCATCAGTCTTACCAAAACGTGCAAGACATCACCTGATCTATTCACACAAACTGTGGTGTCCCACCTCATCCCGCGTCTGCTCCATTCACCTTATTGGTAACGACTTAGATCCGTCTACAGAGGTTGTCCTTGATGGTAGAGGTTCCTTGGAATCTCAGTTACCATCAAAATCGTCCGAAATCATTAATGACCTCCTAGAGGTGTCGCACGTCCTTTCACAGAACCAGTCTGCGTTTACAATAAGCTTTTCTTCTCTTGATGACTCGGCATGCATGGCCTGGACAGGTTGGTCCAAAGATCAGTTCCTCGAAATCCACTCGCACTGTTCCCCATATCTTTCATCTGGTATATATACCAAGACTACACACGATGCTCTATTACTGTTCTGGGTAAAACTGAAAACCGACATTTCCTGGAGTCAGTGTTCTTCTCTTTTTGGAATTTCCAAGTCAAGTGTGTCCAAAACTTTCCACTCCATAGTACAGGCATTAGACACATCGATAGTCCCACAATTTCTAGGTCCGGATCACTTGACAAGAGAACAGTTGCTCGGGCACAATACTGTCTTTTCAGAAGCATTTTTTGGAGATAAAGCCACTGCCATATTAGATGGCACCTATATTTATATCCAGAAAAGCTCCGACCACAAGCTCCAGAGAATGTCCTACTGTGGCCAGAAGAAGAGAAACTATCTCAAATTCATGAGCATCGCCTTACCAGATGGCTACATTCTGGACACAGTAGGACCATTCACTGGCAGCGAAAATGATGCTACAATTACAAAAAAAGTCATGGACAAGCTAGTTACTTGGCTACAACCAGACGACAACGTTGTCGTTGACCGAGGTTTTAGAGATGTCCTACCAGTTCTCGAAGCCTCTGGCCTCAATGCTAGCATGCCGTCATACCTGAAACCCGGTCAAAGTCAACATTCTGACGTCCAAGCAAATCTTGACAGAACTATCACCAAATCGAGGTGGATTGTGGAATCCTATCATGGTCGTCTGAAACACTGGACGTTCTTCCGAACGCAATTGGTGTCTAACAGCTTTATCAATGTCATCGAGGCTTTGCTTCGAACCGTCACAGCCTGTCTGAATGGTATTAGAGGACCGATCTACCAGAGATCTCCAGAGAGAGATGCCAAAGATAGGCTAATGGCTGAACGTATGAAGGACCGTTTGACAACACCGAATGGTTTAGCTCAGAGAGTCAAGACAGATCCGGATCTATCTAGACGGGCAAGGTCCGAGTTTGTCAAGATGGATGCATCTTCCGTACTGTTTCCCCGTCTCGATCTTGATTACTTGAGAACCATTACGTGTGGAACGTATCAGATATCTCTGGCTCCTGGTTACATCGCCGAACATTTAAGTGATGACGGAGACTATGAGGTGTGGCTTTACCAGCACTCCCCAGACCTTCTCCGATGTCAAATACATTCTCGACACAAAAGCCAAACGAAATATAACGTTTGGATACGGTTCACCGTTTCACCCGATGTTGAGGCCCCAATAAAGGACTACTACTGCCAGTGCCCAGTTGGAGAGAGAACGATGGGAATGTGTGCGCACATCTCCAGTATCTTGTACTACCTTGGGTATTACAGGACGCTGGAAAACCCTCGACCATTACAACCACAGGTAAAGAAATTCCGACAAAACTTGAAATAGTTTTCCATGCGGCAACGGAGTGCATATGTCGAAAGTATGTTTGGGGCTCGATATGAAAGATCCCCGTTACCATGTGACTAACCAAACTTATAAATATAGGTATTATACAATCGCCCGTAGCTATGAACACTCCCGTAAATGCGAAAACCAACCAAAATCATAAGGAACACGTTTTGTTTGTTGTTCTGTCTATTTGTCAGCCAATGTCTTCAACCACGGGGACTTGTGAAGTAGCCATCTTGGATTTTTTTTATGAAAAAGTGTTTCTCTCACTTTTTTTCATATCTGTGTACATATTCTCAACATACCGAGCAAATACTCTCGTTTTTTTGTTAATTATCTAAAGAAAGTCGAAAATCGGCAATTCAACCATAGGCTAATTCAACCCAACATTTGAAAATGTTCCACCACTTACATTTTGATGATTTTTCCTCTCATCAATAGCATATTACGTACTGTTTAATAGGATAAAAATTGGTTTGCATCCAACGCCCATAAAAGGGTGTATTCTCTAAAAAAGACAGGTTTTGTGTCTAAAATGTTATCATCGAAAATGGCATTTTCGAGATTGTTTCTTCCATAAAAAAGCCAAATGGCGCGATGGAAACATGATTTTTTGTCACAATCATGCCATGAATGTATTCTTTACGGTGACCATCATTTGATTAGATTTTCATTAATATTTTACATAACATGCACATTTTATCAACACTAAGACAGCTTCTGAAAGGTACAACTTTGAGGAGCCATAAAAAACAAACCAAGTGACCTAAATCTTTATATTTTATAGATTTGTGACCACAACGGCATGGGCAATGCACCACCAACAGGTTTTGGAAACCGGCCCTTTGATCGAAATCCGACAATATTTATAGGTCAGGAAATTGGCGGTCATTTTGTTTAATTACAAAACAAACACCGCAGTTGTTTTGGTAGTGCCATACTACACCTATATACCAAATTTAATCAAAATCGGACAATGTCTAAATATCGACAAATACTTTTGCGCACTGCCGGTCATACACGAATACTCATGTTAAGTTTCGTTGAATTCCGCCCTACGGTTTTCGAGAAACATGTCGGAAACCTCTTCGGCGGAAGAAAGTGAAAGCAATAATAATAATAATAAGAAGAAGAAGAAGAAGAAGAAGAAGAAGAAACGGAGCAAAAACAGTATGTGCCCAAACTTTGTTTGCGGGACATAATAATTGATCATATGAGAACACACGGCAACAAATATGACAAAATATATTTTAATTCATTTATCTTTAATACAACAAGTGTTGATCAATTACTGATCACGAAAAAAGAATAATTGTTTTAAATCATAACACAAACTGTTCTCACAACCCTCGGAAACCTTCACAAATACAGACTATTTGATTAATATTTTTGTATGTCTTCACACAGACAGATTATCTATACGTATAATCACAAAGTCAGAAAATCTGTGCACTTTTTCAATGTAAGTAAAAAGAATAAACGAAGCGCACAATTAATCGCTAGGCTACATTTAATACTTTAAATTACAATCACTTCCGAAGCTTCGTCCTCAAACTTCATGGAGTTACACGTGTGTTCTCTGCATCCCTGGAATATGTAATGACGAAACCAAGCACATCTCTTAACGTCTTGTCTCCAATTTCGTCACGACATTGTCTAGGGTTGCAGAAAGCGTGAGAGACCGAAGCCCCTCGAATTACACGGATATTTTTTTGTTTTTTTCACAAGTTGTTGTTATAACTCCGGCGTTACATCTTTATTAAAACTGAAATATCTTGGATATACAATGTACAAGTATGATATGTTAATATATCATAAGTAAACAGTATTATTTTTTTTATCTCACTTTTAAAAAGCACAAAATGGTTTATTCTCACAAGGTACAAAATATTCCACCTGATCTTGATTGTAAACATATGACGTACACAACGTTAAACAAAATGTTCAATTTGCAGACTAAACACATCTACACTATAGCTTTGCTTTTGATAGTTCTGTTAGCGGTCCCATCCATTCCTCCTCTGAAAAAGAAATGTGAATGGGCGTCAGTCAATAATTCGCTTGAATATTATTGATCACTTTTATTTATTTTTCTTGGGGGGATTCATTTTGCACCAGGAGTGTTTCATACAAAGCTGATATAAAATGTATCATCACATAGGTCAACATTCTTTTAAATTTATAACTTGATTTTCTACATTGTACTCAAAATTAGAGGAAATCTTTTTCATGTATATAAAATTTAAAGAGTAATTTGGTAGCATACGTTTAATCTCCCTCTTTAAGCTCTCAGGGTACCAGACCCTTCATTTATAATAAATCAGTTAGCTCAGGGACGATTCATATAAAACTATTTCAAAGCCCGTCTACTTGTACTACATTGTGTAAAGGGCAGTGACCAATCAAAGATTTGCCGTTATTTCCCGGTCACGCTTAATGACCCCTAACTATACAACACCACATTATCTTGACCAAGCAATGGTTCACGCATAAACGTGTTTGACAAAATAGTATTAGTGGTCTTGTTACAATTTACAGCTTTGACCAATTCTGAGTCCCACCATTCTGCCCAAGTGAAATGGAATCTACCTAGCATAGGGATGTTTCATACTAACGTTAAAGTGACAATTCATCAATCTGTATTTTCAGGACTATTTACACTGTCAGAACATCCATCTGCCCCTACTAGGACAACATCCTTTGCTTATGCATACTTGAATTCCAATGGCTAAGGGATGATTGAAACCAACTTTAGAAAAAATATTTTCTGTCGTTCTGGACCGATATTCATTAAAGAGAAGTTGACGGAAAGATTATAAAACAAAAATGTAATATCCCATAAGCTTGCTTCTCGTTTGAATTAGAATTAGAATCAAAGTTGTACATTTTAACGGTCATTAATAAATGAAATACAGTTACCGTGATTTTTTACAGAGATGGACAAAGAGAAACTTTTTAACCTGTTATACACGACTTTATCTCTTTGGTCTCGACTTCTTCTTAACCTTCCATTGTGCATTGAACATAGGTTTTAATAAAAAAAAAAAACATCTGAGAACAAAAACAAAACTATTCGAACAAAAATTTGAACAAAGTACAGATTCACATGAGGGAGGGAGACTAGGTGTTCTGTTTCATCGACGACACCTGCCATGTCAGTTTAGCTCAAATCGAAGTAACGTCACCTCCTCACACTGAGAATTCGGTTAGTGACGACAAAACCACAAGCAACCCTTTTATGAGGATAATCAAAACATCAATTTCGAGAAAATAGGTATTTTTCTTACGTCTCATTTATGTGGCGTGGTAAATGAGATTAAATACTTGTATTTTCAATCTGATATGTCTCTTAGAGCAACTGTTAGTAACTTCAGAAATACTCGATAACTTACGTAAAATCTTGGCCAATATAGGAAATCTGTCTGACCCGAATATCATTTCTTGTTTGTTATTGACATGAGCAACAATGATAGGAGACCCAAACGCCTGCAAAAAAAGAAATTAGTTAAAAGTATTTTCTGTCACAATGAAAAAGGTTTTTTTTTTTCAATTCATGAAAGTATCTAACTTTTTTAGTTCGAACTTGTGCGGTGCAAGTACTAGGCCCGTATTCATGAAACCATTCTCATGTTCAAGCATTAAATTTGTATTCAAACCAACTTTCTTGGTTTTTTAAAGTAATTATCACCCGAACAAGAAAATTGGGCTTGGGCACGGTATATGAATTTGAGCATGAGAACAGTTGCATGAATACGGGCTCCGATTGAGATGAAAGAACATGGAAATAGGACATTCACACCTTTTGATTAGCATTGCCAACGGCTCGTTTCTTTACCATTTTCAACAAATCGTTCCATTAAAAGTACCCTCGTTATATTCAATTAACATTGCCTACAGATATTTTGTTAAATATCCTACAAATTGTTCCGATGTTCAACCGACATTAACTAAAGAGTGTTCAGGTAACAAGCTAACTGATTGTTCTGTTAAACATTCTACAAATTCTTCCGTAGTTCCGTTTACATTGCTACCAAAATGTTCAAATGACATTACACACTCAATCGACATTGCCTACAAATTGTTCCGTTAACAAGCCTTCTGATTATTCTGTTAAAAATTCTACACATTGTTTCGTTGTCCTGTTAACATCTACAGATTGTTCCATTATCAACGCCTACAGATTGCCCTATTAAAAATGCTTACAGAGAGCTATTCAAACCTTGCCTTCAAAACTATTTCTCTAACTTTGCCTGAACTAATGTTTGGTAACAATGCAAACAGATTATTGTCTCTTTAAAGTCGGCTACATATTGTTCCTTAAGACACAGCAAGACCCCTTAAAGATGGCATAATCATCCAAAATGTCGACACTCTGATCATTAATATCTAAAAACCTCCAACAAACCTCACATATAGATATGTAATGTCGACATAATGAACTGGTAAAATGTTTTTTGTATTGGCGTTTACTTTGTCTGTAATAAGACATTAAGTCTTCATAACAAGCCATTCGGATTGATGTCTCTCCTTTGCCCCACTTTGACCATCAATGCACATATCGGTGAAGTACATTCAATATGGTTATCCAGCATGTGATGAATGGGTTGAGATATGAATTTATGGTCCAAGTTTGGTTGGTCTAGCACTTATAGTTTCAGAGAAACTAACTTAAACGCAAAAGCTTTATGTTGATAGAGATGCTGACAAAGTCAATGGACCATGAAAGGTAGGCCGCATCCAGCATATAATGTATCGGTTGCGATGTACTACCTAATAGTTATCTATGGTCCAAGTTTGGTTGGTCTAGCACTTAAACTTTCAGTGAAACTAACTGAAACGCATGCACTTAATGCTGACGCCGCCGCCGGAAAAACAACACCTTAGTCTCGCTTCCGCTACTTCGTCGCGGCGAGACAACAGTACACCACACTGAATGTTACGAAAAGACACAATTACGTTAAGTTTATCTATATAGCTAGGTCATATGGAGCTGCATTTCTCTTCTTTAACATGTGGAGATGTATGTAAGCTTCAAACAAAGTTAATTGTGGTTAGGTGAAACCAAACAAATCATAGTAAAATGTCCCAGAAAGATTTTTTACAACTGTAGTAGTATAAATATGTAAAACCAAGAGCCTTTTGATCGTGATCAGTAAATTAACTTAATATAAGGTGTCCTTTCGTCACATTCCGTGTTACAACAAAAAGCTTATAAACATGGTAGCATTTTTTTTTAATGTTTATAACATGTCTTGCTCATTTTATCATCACAAAATGTTATAAAACGGTACATCATCTTAAGTTTATTTATAAATCAAGGCCACATAGCTTTCATTTTCTGAATTTTTCCTTTGCTTAAATATATTACTATAATACATGTAGGAAATACATATAAAATGCCCTTTCGTAATATCAAGTGTTGTTTAAATAGCTGGCCATGTTTCAAACATTGTAGTAATTTTTGCCAAAGTTTACAACTCGAGTAGGTCATTTCAACAACCACAGAAACGCACATCGCCTAAAGTTCATTTTAAATCTACGTCACATTGCCTTAGTTTTTTTACCCCTGCTCTAATAATACCACCATGATCAATAAATTAACTATATATAAAGTGCCGGTTCGTGACTAGGTGTTGTTATTAAATGCTAGACATGTTACGATCATTTTAGCATTTTTTTTTACAATGTATATAACATACCTAGCTCATATTTTTCACTTCAGAATCTTGTGAAATTGCAAATCGACTGAAGTTCGTTTATCAATCTAGGCCACATATCTTTATATTAAAACAAACATGACGGGGGAATTTTACCATGAGTTTTGTGGTTTCGTATAGCAACATTCATTTAGTTGCAAAGGGGATTGACATGTTTTGACTATGTTTATAGAGAGATCAGCCTCACTACGCACTATGTAACTGTCGCTATGTACAATTTTGATAACTAAATTATAAATTAATATATCACTGTCCAATTATTTAATTGAAATATTTTTTAAGTATGCCTTATCGTGGGTTTAAATTTTAGGTGACCATACCACCTTGTAGAGGGCTCACTGAACCTTCACGTTGCCTACAAATTATTGATTTGACACTGTCAATAAATTGTTCCTTTAGCGATTCCCACAGCGTATATCATAAACATTGCCTACAAGATGTCTTTTTGAGATTACATACAGAATATTCCTTTTACGTGGCTTTAAGCGTTTCTGTTTATGTGACCTACCCCTAGATCTAAGGCCTGCGTTGTAAACTGTTTCAGTCTATCTTTCACTGTCTGGTCCTTTGACTTCTGAAGGCAGTCTTCCATAACATCAGTAGGGAAACCGATGTCTTTGCAAGTCTATAAAACCAAAAACATATTTGAATGAAAAACTAAATATCTTATATATATACTATATTATAGTATATATAAAACAAAACACGAAGACTACATTTTGTTTTATATTTATTTTTACCGTCACATGGACATTTAAAACTCTTTACCGCTATTATATTTAAATATATTATTTCAAATAAACCGTTTCAAACGATATTAAGAGAAATAAAACCCTTTATATTTGAAGTTAAAAAGAAACTTGAAGTTATATTTTTAACACAAAAGGGTTTATCACACTGAAAGTGTAAAATGGCTAGAGTTAAATTATACTGCTCATTTTTAACATAGAGTATCAATAGCAAAAATCAAGACTTTGACGTACCTCTCTTATCCCTTCCACGTCGGAAATTCCTTTATCCTTAAAAAATACAAGAAACAATTATTCCACTTTTTTTCCTGTATGAAAGCGCATTTGATTTTATATACTGTAAGAGGAAAGCAAATAATGTTATTTTTATTCATTTCCGTTAGATTTAAATTAACACACAACCTTTTTCCATCAAACAGCTGTCCATGGATAATATTGATGTACAAGCAACAGGTTGATTTTTCTAAAGTTCTGCTGGTTAATTATTGTGCTTGCCATAACTTTCCTAGCTAAAGAGAAAGTCTCTCTAGTTGATTAAACCAGTACAAAGAAATTTGATGTGAAGCAATTGTGACATCTTGTTCAAGGGTCCCCGTACCACTGCCAAAAACTGTAACTACACATTTTAGATTGACATGACTATACCTTTGATAAATCTGAAAAGAAAGCCTTTAAAGAACAAATAATACTGATGAAATTAAAAAAAATCCATAATCGAGTGAGTGTAAAAGTCATCGGGGCTAGACCGGGAATTGGATCATGGACATCAAATTGTTATATCGTTCTTATCAACTAAGCTACCTAGGCCTGCGCAACAGAAGTGCTTTGGTCTAATTGTGTTCCAGTTATATCCCAAACGAAATTAAAATGACAATTTAGTGAAGAGAGTTTTTCTTTATAACCTTGCCACAAAATTCTTCATGATTAATTCATGTCGAGAAATTGGCACTAGACAATGTTTTCTTGGCATTTTCAATCAGTAATGGAGAAATCCTTTACTGTACAGCCGTACGTTTTAGCGGCAGCTGTCGGTGAATTTGTAGCTAAAAATGTCTTTCCAGCCAAGGAGAGAAGGTAACTTCTCGCTTTATTTACCTAGCCTCTCTAGCAGGGACGTAACCAGGACTATGAGTATGTGGAAGCATACGAAGCGCGAAGCGCGAAGCGCGGAGTAGGGGGTGGGTTCGGGAGGGGGGTTACCCCCNTTTTCTTTAAATAGTCAATAAAAGAAACAATATCAATGAGATAATGAATTCACTGAGGGCCCAGGATTATATGAGTTGTTAAAGTTTATCACATAAAGTTCTACAATGTGATCCTTGTTAAAAGTATACTTGAAAAAATTACGTGGAAGCCCGTGCGTCCGTGCGTACGCCTGGTTACGTCCCTGTCTAGAATACACTTTAAATGCATTTATTTTCAATCAAAATCATCTTCCAACAGCTTCTCAAACATCGTTATAACTGAGTGATATCGTACTTTCTGCGGTTTGAAATACCCCTGCGGCACCCTTTCAGCGCGTGCATGCTCTAAGTGAACCTGTTTGTTTTTATTAAAATCTATACGTGAACAGAAATATCTGATAAGAGGTATATATTATGATATTTATAATTCTAACTTGCGATATACTGTGTAAATTCAAGATTGTGTTATGTGTGAACTCAGACTCATGACACTGTGTTGTTGGTCGACAGCGTATAGTAGTGCTGTACACTGAAAGGCCCGGATATTGCGCTAATTTGGGCGTAGCTATTTTTATTACGGCTTTCCCAAAAAATGAAACTGACCACACTTGACGTTGGCTTCAGGTAATGTCATTATCAACTACGAAGACTTTCGTTAGGAGATATATAATTTGAGTATCGACTCTATTTATTTTCATGTTGTTATTTGACTTAATAGCCCCTTTCAAGTTGGGTCTCTATTTATACAAAAATCCACATTTCAGTGGGACAGGGATTCTTAAGAAAACTCATGTACATTTCCAACACACAGATATGCTTGATATAGAAGAACTGAGTACCCAATTCCATTAGTGGGTGCTAATCATAATCTCTTGATAGAACATTCAACCAGAACTTATAGCTTGGTTCATGCCAAAAATCTTCTTTCCTGAAATGTGCTGAGAAGAAATGGTAGGTGGTTCTCCAGAGACATCAGGACGTAACGGTTATAACAAGTTGTTTTCACCCTCTGTGTCAAACAGTTTGTTTTTGTAAGTAGAAACTTCAATTGTAAGATCAACATGTTTGTCAAGATGGATGTGACATCCCTGACGAAGGGCTAAGCCCGAAAGCTTCGAAAAGAGTGACTTACAAGTTAATTTATAGTCTAATCATTATGATTGAAAACTGACAGAAATGAAGAAAAACATTGTTCCAGTTTGGGTGGAATGAGTATTTAATCAACAGAGAAGATGTTTGGAAAAGATTCAATGTTTGATTCTTTTTCAATATGGCAACCAAAACATTCATTTAACTGCCCAATCAGTTGTCAGCTTCATAGACAACTATCAATGGAATTCAGAGATTGTGTGTTTGTTTGCTACTTTGCTTTTATATAAATATTAAAGTAAGATGCTGAATTAACAGCTGATGACATTTACAGGTAATGTTTTGCAAGATACAAGAGTATGAAATGTGTTCGAATGGCAGACTTGGAAAAAATAAGGAAGTAAAAAATGATGCAAGGCTTTGAGTTTGTTTTCAAACTTGTGATTCTATATTCACCAAAAAACACTTATTTTAAACTTAATGTCGGAACTTATTAGCCCTTGGGTGCAGCTGTTATGGATTTTGAAGATTACTATGACAGCCAAGATAATAAAGTATACTTGCTGTAGCAGCACACATTCCCATAGTTCTTTGACCAACTTGGCATTGGCAGTAGTAATCTTTAATTGGATTATGATCATTTGGTGTCCCGAATCCAAACATTAGATTTAGTCTGGCTTTTGTGTCTGGAACGAATCTGACAACGGATGAGGTCCTGAGAATGCTGATACACCCATATTTCATAATCTTTACAAAATCTGACTCTGCTCTCTTGGAGAGAGCAAGTTGTTTTCACCCTCTGAGTCGAACAGTTTGTTTTTGTAAGTAGAAACTTCAATTGATTTGTAAGGTTTCTGTCTTTTGTGTCAGTTTCCGGTGATAAATTGGTTACCGTATCCAGTTGAGACATGCAGTCACAATCTTTAGCACTTCCTCAATTATATCGATGAAGCAATTTGATATCAATTGAGTTCTAAAATTATCTAATGCTTGAGACGGCGATGATACAATCCAACGGGATTTAGTAACTGTTCTGTCAACGTTGTCTCTGACCAGTCTTAAGATATGAGGGCATACTGCTATTAATACCAGATGCCTCTAATATTGGGAGGACATCTCTAAAGCCACGATCAACGACTACATTGTCGACTTGCTCCAACCATATGAGCTTGTCCATGATTTTGTTTTGTAATGCTTGCATCATTTTGGCCTCCAAAAAATGGTCCTACTGTGTCCAAAATGTAGCCATCAGGTAGAGCTATGCTCATTATTATAAGATAATTACGCTCCTTTTGGCCACCGTAAGTCATTCTCTGAGAAACGGTTCTTTGATCAACCTGTCCAAGCTTTGCAGTCAGGGTCATCCAAGAGACAGAAATTGAGAGTGAAAGCTAATTGATTCTTTGATAAGATGTACGACACTTCTAAAAGGTCATCAATTATTTCAGATGACCTAAACCATAATTGAGAATTCAAACACCCTCTTCCTTACAGTATAACCTGTGTACAAGGGTTCAGGTCATTGCCAATAAGAAGAAATGAGAATACACGTGATGACGCAGAACACCACAATTTGTGTGTAAAATTAACTGATCACACTTGTACGTTTTTGCAGAATTGTGGAATTGCTTCCCTTTGAATTAAAATTGTTAAAACAAAGACAACAATTTATATGTGAACAGGACCTGTGAAATAAGTCCTTGATTGTTAAAAGAGGAAAACTCCTAGTAGTTTCATCTTCAAAAAGTTGTTTTTCATATTCTTCTTTACACAGATACCTTATGTAGCACTTCGGACAAACTTCTTCATTTGAACAATCTATGCCACTTTTAGTCAGTAATACCAAAAGCCATTTATATTATGTTTTGTTTTACATTTTGTGTACTTTTACATTTACGAGACTTTGCGAAGATACAATGGCGACCTTCACCAATACATTTACTCTTCACTATGAGATGAATATTAACAAATGAGTATGAAATATCCCCTCAAAGCAATGTAAAAACGAAAGTCTGATGATAAAATGTATTAGAACAAATTCTAAAAAGTGACAAGCATATTACATTTGATCTTAAAATTGATTGGTAACAAAAACTTTATCAATCATCCCAGTGATGAAGCATATTTAAATTTGGAATTGTTTGTGACCTAACATGCACTAATATTCCATTTTTCGACCCCCATGCTGTAATTAGGTTAATTATTCATCTAAATAATTAGTAGAGTGATTCAAAGTAGTTATAAAGAATAAAAACAGCAGCATAAATCTTGTAGCACTTCTGAAACAAAAATTATGAGGGGGCAGGCTCCTATGTAAATTTAACATAACTGGAAAGAGTCCCTTTAAAGTAAACCATTTATTATTAAGTCAAAAATGTAAAAAGTTAATGTATGACAAAACATTACTGCACAACATCGTCAGAGAAATGCTCGTAATTGGTCGGACACTTTTGTCTATATCTCAGGGGACCTAATAAAAATTTGAAAGTATTTTAATAGAGAAAATATCTAACCTTATTCCATGCTCTCATCCAGAATTGTCGGGAAAGATCTTCCACCAAGTCTGGTCGCTGCATGTCAACTGCTGTGAGGAATCGCTGTGGCATAAGTGTCCCCTTGATAAACATCACCTCAGCAGGGTTCTAGGGGAAAAAAAGAAAAATATAACTGCAGAGGGCACATAAGAGGCGCATTAAGGCTACTCTTGCTTGAATTTATACAGAGTTCTGGTTGCAGGTCCTACTGATACGGCTGTGGAATCACACAATGTGCAGTGTGCACATGATGTGTGCACAGTGTACAAAATATGCGTGTACAATGTATGAACGATAGCAAAAAGAATACTGTTCTTTACCAAAAGTAAGTTGTAGCAACATCTGGATTTTGGAAGGAATATGGTTTACCCGAGGCCAAACAAAAAAATCCTTTGTGTTTTCATTAACTCTATCTACACAAAAACCATGCCAAAAACGTTTTTTTTAGACAATTTTCAAAAGAGGCTCTGTTTATGTCAAAACCACTTCCCTATATAAACCACATACAATTATTTTTAAATACATGTTTAAAATTTGTTACCAACCTACCCTAATTTCAAACATTCTACAAGAAACACACTTCTTTTTTTTGTTTTGCCTGATCAACAACTGCTTCAAACTAAAGGCACTGTAACCCAGAAGTGAAACCTCAGTGTATCTTAAACAGAATGCAATGAACAAGGAAAACGCATACCTTAGCTACTGGTCTTTCAAAATACAGGTTTACGTAAAATTTATAAAGCTGTCCTAAGGTAAAGGGTACCAACAAGTTAAGATTTATTATTAGGACTGTTACTGTACTAGTGGTATTAATAGAATCTATCATTCCCTTGGGGGTGAGATCGGGGAATCTATACCTGAGGGGGAAGATTCTTAAGTTGCCAAACACGAGGCTTAAGAATGTTTTCCTGAGGGTTGAGATCCCCAATCTAACGACAAGGGGGTGACTGATTCTTTTTCTCTTACCCTGTTCTCCCATTGTGTACCATATACATGTAATATTTACGTCACAGGCTAAATTCAGGGTTGACGTGTTGTCATTGTATTGCTGACGTGACGTCATACCATTGTTTTGAATAGGGGAATCCCCCTGTCTCAACCTTAAGGTGAGACAAGGATATCTCACACCAGTAAAATTGAGGATACACCTGTGCAGGGTAAGAGAATCCCTTATCCCACCCCAAGATTTTTTTTTCTCTTACCCTGTTCTCCCAATGTGTATCATATACACAATGTAATGATAAAATTACATGCTAAATTCAGGGTTGACGTGACGTTGATGGATTGTTGACGTGACATCATTGTATTGTTGAAGTGACGTCATGCCATTGTTATGAATAGGGGAATCTCCCCGTCTCAACCCTGGGGTTAGACAAGGAAATCTCACACCAGTAAAAGTGCAGATACACCTGTCCAGGTAAAGAGAAATATTTGTTCCTTTCAAAAGAAATATTCCATAAAAATCATATGTTGCCATGCATTTTAAAACATTGCAGTTGTTCAAAATGTGAAAGTTTTAAAAATGAAATCAAAAGAAATCATGAAAAATACAGGAGTCAAACTCGAGACCTTTACACTGTCCAGCTTACCAATGTTGTCGTACAGAAATTGTACAAAAAATCATAGTTATTGAAGCGTGTGAAAAAGTTAACAGGGAAGTTACTTTAAGCCAGAAAAACTCATTTTAGCTTCCTCTTCTATAGAGAAGGGAGAGTACTCCAAGTCAAGATAACCTCTGAGTAGAACCCTTCTTTGGGATTATAAGTTATGACTGACACAGTGGTACCCTTAACCTTAAAGGATTTACTTGGAGGAAAATCTTAATTTTTCTCAACTTGTGCAAGTCTATACTTACCGCTGGAGGAACTATTGGAACATTGTAGTAGCTGCCTAGATTAGGAAGGTCATGTGACAACATGTACTTGGCTTTAGCTGGGACCAAGCCTGGGGGCTTGTTTCCTGGGAATCAAAATTTAAGAATATTTATTAGAGAACTGAAAAGTATTTTTCTGAAATTTAATTATGAAGGTATCATCTTCGCTAGCCAAGTGTTCGCTTCGTATACACTCCACTTACGTAAGACGAGTGTATACGAAGCGAACACTTGGCTAGCGAAGATGTGAAGGTATATGCAACAATCATATTCAAACATATCTCCAAGATTCTCAAAGCTGAAATTTACACTAAAAACAATGATAAAATATCATTTCGTCTTTCTCCTTGCAGGTGTCTTTCATTCATGATACACTTTTGCTGGAAAAAAGGTCATGCTTACTTAGTATGGTTACCGATTCTGTCAGACAACAAACATTAATTAGACATTGCTGTATAGTAGGTAATATTTGCAGAGGATTTAATTTTGCTATATTCATTTTCACCAAAGTCTGCAAAAAAAAAAAAAAATCCCCGAGGAATATTAATACCATGAATTATAATCTCCCTTAATATATGTATATACGGACAAATAACACACTGTTTATCCGTTTACTGCCAAATAATGAGGTTACAACAACAATTTAATATTGTATTTTAATTTGCTTTGACAAAACATTTGTATGATAAATCCCATTACCCAAATAAAGAAGAGTCCCACCAGTAATGAGTTATGGTAATCACTATTTTATTAAAAACAAAAAAAATAAACAAATATTTCGCACGAAGGGGCATTACTCCATCAAAAACGGTCGAAATCCCAAATTAAAATGCCGGTGCACAACTACATAAGATACTGATCATTCATGCAAAGTTCCAATGAAATCCACATGTTAGTTATCGAAGAGTTTTGCAAAAAAGGGGCATAACTCCATCAAAAGCGGTCGAAATCCCAAATTAAAATGCCAGTGCACAACTACATAAGATACTGATAATTCATGCAAAGTTTCAATGAAATCCACCTGTTAATTAAGGAGGAGTTTTCCAGACAAGTTACTGCGGAGGACAGACAGACAGGGTGATTCCATTATACCCCCCTAACTTCGTTGCGGGGGTATACATATTAGATTATATCAAAAATCGCCAGAACTGCCATATAAAATGTCTAGCATGCAGATTTAAGACTGGAAAGTATTTGATTCTAGCATGTCTGCGTCAAAGAAATTTAAGCACTTCCAATGCCTCATTCTGGTCCCCACCCTTCCCGGGGTGGGTTACTGTTAAATTTACCATCTACCATCTACCATCTTCTATTCTTCTCATGCATAAATACAATGTAAAATGTTATTCCAACCGGTTTTGAATTTTAAACTGAAAATCAACCAAAATACCCAAATGTAAATTTTTCCTACAGAAACAACAGTAAAATTCACCTCATCCCTATGGGGGTCCATGAAGAACGGGAGTTATGAAATTATAAGTTATGATAAACCATCTCTAAACCATTTTATCTATAAATAAAGAGTATTTGTTTCCAGTATATCTAGGTCTGAAGAAGAGGAAATTTAAGCCAATATGACGCCTTTCGTCCACACCCCTGGGCCCATTTGGGTAGGCCAGGTCAAAATATTCATAGCATCAAACTTTCAACTCATGATTATAATTCCAATCAAGTCTGATTTTTTTCCAATTGAGAATAAATAAAGTATTCTTGTAGCCCGGGGGTAATGAAATTCACAATTTTGATAAAGCACCTCAAGATCCTTCCATCTATCAAGAGTATTTGTTTAACAGTGGGTCTTGAGAAGAGGATTGTTAAAAAAGCCAATTTGACCACTTTTGGCCCCGCCTCTCAGAGCCCCTTGGGGTGGGGACCACATAATTTACAATTTTGGTGCACCTTTCCCCTTTGAAGGTTTCTGCAAAATTTGTGAGAGGAAGTCGAAAATGTAAATTGTTTACTGACGGACGACGACGGAGAACAAAAGGCGATTAAAATAGGTCACTTGAGACATTGATTGTCTCAGGTGACCTAAAACATCTAGTTGATGATTAATCCTCTCAAACCACTTCTATAGGGAAATAGGGATAACCATGAAACTACTACATTTGTATACAGTATTTGGGAACTTCCATCAAATTTTTGTTTAATCGGACTACATGATTAGTCCAAGATTACACTAACATCTAGTGACAGAAGGACCTGAACAGTCTTTGAATAAAAAACAGTAATGTGTGTTAGCTCTTTGTGTATAGAGTTTGTGTAACAAATTTGAGTTGTTAGGTTAAAGGGCTGTACAATAGAAACTAAAACAATAGACAGGAAATACAAACTGTCAGATAGTCTGAAGTTGATTGTCGATAGCAAAAAATAGCAGTCTTTTTATTGACATCATTATCAATATTAAGACTGAAATGGACTGGTCGGTCTTGAAACGTTGCGACATGTTTAATATATACATTTTTAGTGTATAAAGTAAAACTGTGTTATTAATTAATACATATTTCCAAACTGAAGAATCTTATTGAAGATACCTAAATTTGTAAAGACATTTTTTGGAGAACAAGAATATTCAATGATTACACAAACCTGCTCCTGACATGATTCCTCCCAGAAAGAATGGTTTTAACTTGAGGTCAATGTTCCACTTTGTTCTGTATCGGCACATCACCTAAAATAAAAGATTTTTTTAGAGAACTTTACAAGAAAAGACGAGATACTTTCCTGTTGAAAATAGACATATTTTATAGTATCAATTCCAAAAATGTTTATTAAATTTTCAGAAAATTCTCTTAGGTCTAACATGATCTCCATTTTCTCCAAAAACACATGCCATTTCAGAGTTTCAAAGTTTTTCGCAGTCATAGAGCCACTTTTTGTATATTCTATTATTCATGAGGTTGATGTCAGCCACGTCTGCCGAGACCCGTAGTGTGATTGGATGGAAGGGCAGCCAGTTTTTCACTAAAAATACCAGCCAACCAACACTGCATGTTCGGCACAAGGCTGATGTCAACCTCATCAATATTTAAAAAGTGTCTCTAGGACTGAAGAAAACTTTGAAACTCTGAATGGTGTGTGTTTGTTGATCAGAAAACGGAGATCACATCCGCAGAAGGAGAATACATTTTGTGTGTATAGGAGGTTTTTAAAAGAATAATTATCGATATTTCCAACGGTACTAAGCATTTTTTTTCGAACATCAACTAGAAATGTTGTTTTTGATTTAAGAAAGTTAGGTGGGGGTCAACTTTTCGACATCTCATGAGCTTTCTACCATTCTCGTGTATAATCATTTGGGCTGGCATTTTTATTGAAATTCGATCCAAACACCTTAAACATGTAACATTACTCTAAACACCTTAGTTTATGTTCAGATATAGCTGTAACAAATCATCATGTCCCTGTGAGATTTGCTCAAGTAACGCCTGATGGTGACGGGCGACATTCTTCATATATTTCCACCTTTCGTTATACATCAAACCCTCATATCTCTAAACATATATAATGCATTACATCACTTAAAACGATGCAAACTGCCACAAAAAACATTAATCTCGCGTTTATGCGATAATCCATTCGACAATTGACAGATTTGTCAAGTGACCCATGAACGTAACGCCCCATTCGGTCCACTGTCTGGTATCGTACTTTGTGTAAGAGGACATGCTCTGAAGTTGACACAAATTGAATACAAATTTACAATTGTAAAATTAAACGAGATGCTCCACCTCAAACGCTATCCAGGAATATGGTGATACAACATCATAAAACAACTCAACTGTCTTACGGGTGGACGCGGCCATTTTGACGTTAAAGTGAAAGTAGGATGGTTTATACAAAATTACAATCACACTAACAATACGAAACGCAGTTATAATGCCCAATTACTTTTGTGCAACCTGTTGTACAGCTCATAAGACACTCAATGGTCATTGAATTCAACATGAAACACAAAACAATGTATTATTATTCAAATATTTACACAGGTGCACATGTTGGGTTTGGTGGGGTATATGGTATTAGCTAACGTTGGCTGGGTATTAGGTGATGATGCTTGGGTGGGTACTTGGTATGAGGCTTGGTAGGGTATTTGGTATCAGTTGACGTTGGTTGAGTATTCTTTGGGGTTTAGAAGGGTATACGTATATGGTATAAGCTAACGTTGCCGGGTTGGGTATAGGGTGAGGCTTGGGTGGGTATTGGATATCAGTTGACGTTGGGTGGGTATAAATAAACAATCGGTAATCGTCGGCACTTTCCGTAAACGAGAAACTCGGATTTCCTCGTTTACGGAAAGTGCCGACGGTTCCCGATTGGAGTGATTAACTTCCTGTCATTTCAACAAGGCCATCTGGCTTTCCTGTAAAAAAGGCTTTTTATTTAATACAAGAAACTTACATTGTATATTGGATACAATATAAAACCACAGGGACCTGATAATTCGTTAAATCTATATTAGGACCTAAACTAAGATGTTCAGAGTAATTTTACACGTTTTAGAGGTTGGAATCAACTTTCGGTAAAAATGTCATCCCAATGATGATAATACTCATATATATAATCATTGTTGGGGCGGCATTTATACCGAAAGTTTATCTCAACCCCTAAAACGAGTAAAATTACTCTGAACACCTTAATTTAGGTCAAAATACAGCTGTAACTAACTATCAAGTCCCTGTGGTCTATATTTTATTAAATTTACGATATAAGTTTCTTGTATAAATTAAACCATTGCTCTATTGTTTGTAACGTACATTATCTCTCATAATGTCCCTGTATTTTCGTGCCGTGGCCGAAGTGTGTATTATGTTTACAAAGAACTGGGCTTTATTAACACAAAAGCCTTTTGTGTGATGCCCAAAACTGGGCATTATTAACACAATGGGCCTTTTGTGTGATGCCCAAAACTGGTCATTATTAACACAATGGACCTTTCAGGTCACCGAATGTAAGTGGGCATTATTAATATAAAGGCCTGAATAGATAGATGACGTAACAGACTCCACACTTTACCACAGCATGAAAACTTAAACAATAATTAAAACGAACACAAGACGATAAAAAAGGAGTAATTTGATTATATTTCAATAAGTTTAATACTTAAAAGGTAATTTTGACTCTCATTCCGTTTTTTTCGATTGCAATAGTGGAATCACCGGAGCTAACTTGACTGGATGCTGCATCAGACTCAGTCTCAGCGGTTGTCACTCTATCAGTTTTGATCTTCTTTCCGCTCAAGATGTCGTTAACTTCTTTAATTTGGTCATCGCTTGACCTTTTGTAAGAGCGTACTGCATTTGACCTGTGCCCTGTGCGTTCCGCAATCAGTTGCTCGTCTACACCCGACTGATATAGTCGTGTGACTGCCGTGGCCCTGAGTGAGTGGTTGGAATAAAATCCAGGAAATCCAGCGGCGCTGCATAACTTTCCGACAACTGTTTGCAGTTCATTTTTACCAATGGGGCTGTCGCCATACCAAACCATCCCTTTAGGATTCTTTAGGGGACGGAGGTAAAATGCATCGCATTTATTCAGTTGTAACCTGGGAAATAAAACATTGAAATATTACAAACGTCTCCTTAAAATAAAGTGCTTTAAACATGTTCTGTTTTAAAAATACCTACGTATTCTACTTTTAAATGTATCATTTGTTGTGTTTAATTAAAGCAATTTGAAAATAAAACCTTTTATAAAGATATAACAATTTCTTGGTAATAATTCGGTTTATTATCCATTTTCTAATGCATGTTTGGATCTAAACTAAGGTGTTCAGAGTAATTTTATACACAGTAACGTTTAAGATAATATTTCGGTTAAAATTGCAGTAAATCGTAGCCCCTAAAACGTGTAAAAACCTGAGTTTAGATCCAAATATAGCTATCACAAACACGCAATTAAGTCCCTGTGTTCAGCATGATACATGGTTGCCTCACGCAGACTGCCTTCGTTACATTCGCGGACAGAAAGATGTAGTCATTATTTATATATAGTGAAAATGTCAACACAAACAAATTTGTTACGCTTACCGTTACAACTTCTATCTTATATCAATGGGAGTTATGGAATATAAATATGCTATACCCGTGGCTTATGTAGATTTTATACAAATTCACTAAACATCTTTCCCGGTTTTCATTCTGATGGACTTTAACAGATTTGTGGTGCAGCTTCCTATGATTGAGACCCCCTGTATTGGTTTTCGAATAATCTTCTGTATATGACAGATATTCGACTCCCTTGTGGTCACAACCTGGAAATATACGAACAATTTGGTTTTAGTATTTCAATTTCTAAATGTAAAACACGACTTATTGCTTGAAAAATTGTAATATTTGAAATAATTATTCTTTATTATCCCTAATTCGTAGCACATACATTTGCACTTGATTATAATTCGAAAAGGTTTTTTCCCCCTCACTTTTCACACAATACAAAATGTACGTAAAGTAAACTATCAAATACAAGAGTTATCTCCCATGTTTAAATTTGTTAAAACATTTATGAATTATGGCTACGTAGCACTACTTCATGGTAAAGTAATAAAGTTTTGTTTTTAATTCATGTTCGCTACCATAAATGATACTTTCCCTCCAAAAAGTAGCATTTGACTGGCTACTATTACAGTGAACAATTTATTAAATAATGTGAACTCAAAAGTAATTTCAACTCGGCATGGTAAGTACGTTGGACACGCTTACACAACTTTTTTCATATTATGAAAACATTACTTCCTTATACCACGGACTATGATCTAATTCTGTGGTTATAAAGATTTTTCTTACCTAATTGAAATTGAGATGATGGGCCGAATCTCAAGTTCCTGTGCTCCTGACCAGCACGTAGGCAAAGTTTAAGCCAATCAAATACACCATAGTGTGTACAAGCTTTGTTGATTCATCAGATCCTAACATGTGCTCTCGACAGAGTGTCTTCTCCTGGTCATTAGAAATGACGCCAGCTTTTTTCATTGTAGCGTCCAGTACCTCTCTCATGCGTTTGAAAGCATCATCACTTAGTAGACGTACCAAGCGGCTGTTTTCGCGCAGAAATGCCTGAATGCCTACAATGACCTCATACAGCGTATTTCCTCTGTACTCTTCTCCGTTTACTTTTCTTACTTCAGCCACAAAGAATGTAAGTGCTGTGTTCAATTCTGAATCCGTCATGTCTAATATGTCATTCTGGAGCTCCTCAATATACCCGGTTGTTCTCCTTTCTTTTTGCCAATCTCGGAATAAATTGACAGCCCAGCGTACTTTGGATTCCGTATTGGACGATTTGCTGGATTGGATCAGTGGCATTACATTTTCCTCTGTTAACGGCTCAGCGAATCTTGAGCCTGTAACTGAAACAATAATTCACCATATACTGAAAGAACTAGGGCATTGTAATACAAACGAAAATATTTATTTAATATTAAAAATATTTGAAATTACAACTGAAAAATATATTATCTGTTTATACTCAAAACCATTAAATAATATTCTATTCACTTCCTGTCAACCTTAGCTGCGAAGAATCAAACATGTAACTAATTACAGAAATTTTATTTTTTCTATCCGAAAGTATCCCTTCCCCTAACCTTCTCTCTCCCTTACCTAAAAAAAAAACATTAAAAAAATCACTTTAGATTGCAAAGATGAAAGGAGGCGTCAATTTAGTATACAAACGGGACTTGTGTAAGTCTACAGATAATACACGACACGCATACAGTACGATGGACAGACTTTTGTTTTCACAGAAAAATTACGAGTATGCAGTGTATTGTAAAACATTTCGCTACTGATAATGCATTATAGAATAATTGCAACCTAATAAATGATTTAAAAGATTTTTAGAAAACAAACCAACACGTTTAACGTATTTTTTGTACAAGAGTACGTAGCATTCCATGGTAAAATTTGACACAAAAACAATATGAGGGTAGAATGCAAGTCCGTTTTTGCCTAAAATGTAATTGGTTATATTACATTCAATAAAAAACAAGTATTTTCACATATACCATAATTGAGGTAAATAACAATTATATTACAAAAAGACAAGGAAATTGTTATATATTACGACCAAGTTTACGTAGTCATTTTTATTATATAGAAATTAACGAAAAAATCAACTAGCCGAAGTTTGTTAATACTATAAGTCATATATGAGAAAAAAATACTGGTAAAAACCAAATAATGTATTATAAGTGTTGCCGGCACACAAAGAAGGAACAATAGAGCAAGAAACGAAATTCATAAATTGTGACCGAATGAAAAAGCAGAGAATTTCATGAGATGGAGGTGAATACATTTCGAAAAACCTGTTTTAACGGTTAATGAACCATGCATTTCATTTCTCACCTAGAATTTCCCTCGGAATAAGGGTAAAAAATTGTACGAGTTTAGCAAAACATTTATTCTTGACCCATGTTGATTGCACAGATATGGTTTTTTTTAGGAATTAATTTTTTTTTAGAAATAACAGCTTTCATAATATATGTGAAATAATTAAGCGAAAACAAAGTGATGACAATATTACACATTATATAAATTTCTTTCGACATTTACCTGAGCCAAAGCTAATGTCCATGTCGGCAGTCGGTTTGTCAATGGTATCCGATACGTCTGTGTCTTCTGCATTATTGGTGTCCTTTTCTTCTTTTCTGTATTTTGGTTAAAAAAACACTTTCATTTTCCTGCTGGTCAACGAATTGTTCATACATATCCAAAACCTGACTTAAAATAGTGTCAGAGTCGTACTCCATATTTTCGCACCGCATGTACCTTCTCTTCAACACGTGTATGCGTTGGAGATAGGTCTTTTTAGCATGACCACGTGACACTCTGGCACGTACTTTTCGTGAAAAATAAATCACTTTCTTCTGGACTGGGTTCGAATCACGTAAAAGCAGGGCGCTTATTTTTATTTTGTTGTTTCTAACATTTTCAGCAGAAGTTTATAGTTTTACAATATATCAACAAATTTAGATAATGTGCTTAACGAGTTTATGAAATGAATGCATCAGCATTAGTTTTGAGTTAGGAATGGGGGGTGGGGGTTAATTTCCATCTAAAGATATTATTTCCAAAGAACACAAGTATCACATTTAAAACAATTCAACAATCGAAATTCATAACATAGTTATGTTTTTATTCGTAATTAAACAATTAATCAGATCCGTAAGTTGAAAATTAGATGAAAACTTTCAGTGTTTCACTTTTAGTTTAAATCAATTTTATTGCAACAAAAGACAAATGGATTGGACAAAAGTTATTGCAACTTACTTACGTCCTTTCCGTAACAGAAAATATATATACAAAATTAATGAGTCACGTAATAACCTAATACAATTCATATATGTATATATATATAAGATGTTAAAGATGGNGGTTAGAATGTATATTTGTGTTGGAAATTAAGAGAATTTCGGTTTTATTTGGGTTGAAATTCATTAACCATTTATTTGACCAAAGGTTTAATTGTTCCATGTCGTAGTTTATAACTTGTTTTATATCGTGTAAATTTTTCGAAGAGTGTGCTAATGCGGTGTCGTCAGCAAAAAGTCTAGTCATTGATAGTAATGTATTTGAAATATCGTTGATGTATACAAGAAAAAGAAGTGGCCCTCACTGAAAACTACATGTAAAAGTAAGCTAGCATGCTACCATGAAATATGTCCTTTTAAACAAAACCCTTCCCAATATAAACTTCACCTCACAATGCATTTTCAAAAATATCATTGTTGTTGAACCAAAGATGAACTTAACTTGTAGGGATCGAATGCGAGACTTTACACGGTCAGTGCTACACTTATTAGCCACTGTTGCTGTTCAGAATGTATGAAAGTTATCCTCACCCAGAATAAAAAACCTTTTTTTTATTGTTTCCACCGAAGGAAATTTCATGTTTAAGAAATAGTTCAGAATAAGTTCAGAAATAGAAATATTCCTTGTGATAAGAACTGATGTTCTGGTACGCTTTCAGTAATTCAGACTTTATATTTGTTTCTGTGTGAAATGCAATGTAACATCTCGGCTGTTTTCGGAACGAAACAGTCGTGACATTCCGTATTATGCGGGGCTTCGAAACGTGACGAAGTGTGCGTGACTGGTGAACCGTGGCGGCTGGTGTTGGGTATAGGGTGAGGCTTTTTTGGGTATAGGGTATCAGTTGACGTCGGGTGGGTATTCTTCGGGGTTTGGAGGGTATATTGTATTAGCTAACGTTGGCTGGGTACTAGGTGAGCTTGGGTGGGTATTGGATATCAGTTGACGTTGGGTGGGTATAAATAAACAATCGGTAATCGTCGGCACTTTCCGTAAACGAGAAACTCGTTTACGGATTTCCTCGTTTACGGAAAGTGCCGACGGTTCCCGATTGGAGTGATAACTTCCTGTCATTTCAACAAGGCCATCTGGCTTTCCTGTAAAAAAGGCTTTTTATTTAATACAAGAAACTTACATTGTATATTGGATACAATATAAACCACAGGGACCTGATAATTCGTTAAATCTATATTAGGACCTAAACTAAGATGTTCAGAGTAATTTTACACGTTTTAGAGGTTGGAATCAACTTTCGGTAAAAATGTCATCCCAATGATGATAATACTCATATATATAATCATTGTTGGGGCGGCATTTATACCGAAAGTTTATCTCAACCCCTAAAACGAGTAAAATTACTCTGAACACCTTAATTTAGGTCAAAATACAGCTGTAACTAACTATCAAGTCCCTGTGGTCTATATTTTATTAAATTTACGATGTAAGTTTCTTGTATAAATGAAAAACCACTAAAACAGGAATAAGCCAGATTGCCATGCTGAAATGACAGGAAGTTATCACTCCAATCGGAAACCGTCGGCATTTTCCGTAAACGATTTTTCGACTTCGAGAGCTTCTCTCCCTTCTCGTATAATATCATCATTAATTGGGGGTGGCATTTTTACCGAAAGATGGTCTTAACCCCAACACGTGTAAAATTAACTAATTATCAGGACCCTGTGTAATCAAACACTTCACTTGACATTCATCACGTGACCCATTGTATGTTCAGGTACATATAACGTTATGTAATTAACTACATGTAGATCTTGGCCGGAGATTTAAAAAGCCTAGATATGTACTCGGGTGAGCGATCCGTCAGATCGATCCAGGTAAGTAATTGTGTTCAAATGGTGGGGTAAACATTCATTATAAGACGACCGATGTCAGAAATGCTGAAATAGCCCAGTTGAGGACCTACATACAGTGTGCAGGTTCTATACATACCCGTATGCTCCGTGTGTAATCGACCTCGATCAGTGTGTGTCGGCAGATCACGGACTAAATATGTTATTAATAATTTGCTTATATGACCTTGTATGGGTGTTTTTTTGCATTGACTGATTTCATATATGTTGATTAAAATATCAGAACACTTATATTTAGCATTAAGAATACAAACAAACAAAATCTGGTACATCCTGTTATAATTTCTTTCGGTTTGTATATATCTATAACATGGGTATGTTCGCCATTTGTATAATTATATTTTGTCACACACAAATGACTAATTATACTTCATAAAGGTCTCCCAATTAGTGTTACATAATATATGCGCTTTCTGAGATCTTTATTTGACAGCATTTTGATAATGTAACAGGGATATAATTAATGTATTTGCTTGTATGTATATGTTTGTTTACTAAGTCCGTCCGTAGCGCGTCGACTGCCCATGTATATATTTCATACTCCGAGTAATGTAACTACCGCGTCCGCGTGTTGTATTCTATACTGTGATGTTATGTCTATAGGTGTATTGTGGTATTCTGCTCGTTACGTATGTTGATATGTTGGTATACCGTACATTTGTTCATTGGTCAGTAGTGTTACGTCAAGTTGTGTATGCGTTTTCATTGGTTCGTTCTGGGTGGTCAGTTTTGGCGCGTGTTTCTTTGTGGGCAAATAAATCACGCTAGTATCTTTTGAGGACTCGTAGTTGACGGACGGAGAGATGTAATGTAAGTGTTTCTTTGTCTTTGTGTAATACCCAACGTATATGTATTATGTGTTTTATTTGAGATATAATTCTATTTGGATCTAATCTAAGTATAGATGATTTGTTATTCCTTTAATAAGAAATCAGATATGATTAATGTATTTTTTTATATGAAAACGTAATAATGGAGGTGATGTAATTTGATTTTTTGTAAGAGGCGTTATTACGTTGTGCCCATTTGACTAAGGTTCGATAAATTTATTTAGATGTCTTTTATTTTAATTACAGTATATCCGTATTGCATACGATTGAAGAAGGCGTCGTAATTATACAAATAGATAGTAGCCAAGGCCTTGTGCCACACTCAGGTATGCTATTGTGTTTTTTATGTAAGAGTATATATATAGTATTGATTTGAGAAGGTATAGGTCGCTAGACTGCTAACTGTGAATTTAATATATTGTCCAGTAACTTTGTTTTGAGTCAAATCTTCAGTTTGATTGTATTTCATAAAAGTTGTAATTGTAATGTGTATTGCCTTATAGTTGATTTGTAAGGGTAAACGTTATGAAATCGTGTAAGAGTTATTTCCCTTGAATTTGTACTATTAAATATGATTATGTGTGTCTATTTTATATATTTATATGACTGTAGCTTGTACTTTGTACTTGTTGCAGGGTTCTTTTAGTTTTTACAACGAGCAATAAAATGACAGTGAACAAAACCCAGAGGAGTTGTTCTATATCTCACAACAAAACCATCTCTACTACAATAATAATTATGAATTTATGGAAATGGCATCTGCTGATGTTAACATAATGTTTCCGTACATGTATTCAAAGGTGTAAAAATACAGTCAGAATTTCAAGCACCTTTGATGTATTTGGATTAAAAAAAATCACATATAATCTTTGTTACTCTGCTGGTTGTATCCAAAATGGACGGAATATGAACCTACAAGTAACACTCATGAAACTAGAGTAATGCTAGTTTAAGGAGGCGTCGTTTAGGAGCCGGTAGGGGACAAGGGGATGCAACAAGCAGTGTTTTTGTATTGTAGTCGCGTTTTTTTCTGTTTAAAATTATCTTGCATTCACCTGCGTACCAGTGCTAAGGTAGCCAGCGCCTGGCTTAAGTGTTCCATTAACTCCTTTTCCTTGCCTTCATGGTCGGAACCATATGGAGAAACTGAAGTTGAAGAACGTTCCTGAAACCGGGGCATGGTACTGTCTCGGTGTAGATAATATATTTGGGTGTAAATTGTAGTAAAATCGTTTTGTAAGGGAGACGAAGTATGCAGTCCTTAAAAAATCCTTCCGTTTTATTTCGTAAATCTGTTATTGATGAATTAAAATTTAATTACAAAACTACAAAATAATTTGAAGCGTTAGTTTAAGCCATGTAGTTGGCATTGTATGAGTGGCTCCATTCGACATAATAGATACACGACGTTATTATTCCTTAAAAGAGGTTGTTTTGTTCCTCCTCAATGTTGTTTACCGTGAGATTTTTGACGCAATGTGAACATTCCTCTTTGCAAAAAATATTCATCAATATTATTGCGGTATAGTTATGCATGTATGCAAAACAACTGTAGTTATGTAATAAAGAAACCGGCGTTCATTTGTTCATCTGACGACGTAGATAACACTTGTTTTTAAAGTGGACGTACACACTATTCTTCCGCACAATACGCAGTGACACGGTCTGTCTTAATTGACAATAAATACAATGTGTACGGTGTTGACGGATACGTTTTATTTGATTTCATTCATGTTGAATATAAGGTTTGGTTATGCATGTTGTCATAATTCTGTGTATTTTATATTTAATCGTGTTTAAATGGTTCTGTTGATGATTTCAAACGTTCATTCATTTTCGAACATGCTGTTATCGTTATTAGGCATCTATTTATTAGGCTAGAAGACTGAGGTAAAATGACTCAAAGATCACTAACAAAGGACGAACGGCTATCCGATGATCTCCTGAATGCATCAAGAAATAATGACGTCGCAACATTTGAAAAATGTGTCCGCGATGGAGCTAACGTTCTTTGCAAAAATAAGGCGGAATGGAACGTTCTTCATTATATTGGACTCTACCGTAGTTACCAGCTTTTATGCCACGTGACACAACACCACGCAAACGTCATTGACCTTATCAATGACGTCGCGAAAGATGGAACGACGCCACTTCACATGGCGTGTATACCAAGCCCTCCAGATATCAGAGTCATAGAAAAGTTTGTACGGATTGGAGGGGATCTCCTTCAACGAGATTGGTTTGGGCTAGGATGTAAAGACAAAACCCATGACAGGAACACCATAAACTTCTTACAATGGCGAAAACTGCATCCAAGTGGTAAGGAAACACATTTTGTTTGGTAAACAACAGTAAACATTTCTTTCTGTATACTTACAGTAACCTACTTTAAATGAATCACGTCAACGGTACTTGAACTAACATATTTCAGTAGCAGACTGTTGTCAACTGATTTATTTTGGATATAAGTATATGGCACAACCAAATGTTCTCAATAAGCAAATATGTAAGCAGTATGCATAATATATTACCACAGTTTGTTATAACGTATTCCTACATTTTATAGGTAAGTGTTAGAAAATATGATTTTATTTAGAATTGGTCAAGGTCGACCAAGAACCTTGTGTTAACGACAGCATGTCGCATATGATGACATTTGTGTCAGTGTCACTGGGAAATGGAATCTAATCTGCCGGTACCATGAGGTTGTGATGAGAAATTTCCAACCCGAGGGGTAATTGTTTGGCTGTCTCCCCCGAAGCTCCGCCGAGGGTAAGACAACCAAATAATCACCCTAAGGGTTGGATATTTTTCTGAAGCCACGATCGTCATTCACTCTCTTTGACGTCACACTTTTGAGGGTCATATTCTGTACGAGGCTAGCTCCGCCTATGGGTTGAAAAGGTGATCTTTCCCGGCCAAAATGGAAGACAAAACGGTAAAGGACGAACCATTTTATCTTCTGAAGGCTTTGGGGGAAATAACGAATACAAGTTTTAAATAAATTGTATGCTAATAACAAGCGACTAATGTCCTGTGTTGGCAAGACTCTTATCCAGAAGCTATAACAAAAGAAAAGAACATCCGACAATACTCGAGTGTTCTTTACATTGTATTGATTCTGAAATTTATTATTTTAAGGTTTACCTGACTCTGTTTTGGACAATCAGAAAACAGCGGACAACGATGTCATCATGAAGTATCTACGCACGTTCGCTTTCATGGATGATGGATTTGCCAGGCGTTACGAACTTGCTTTGCAAGGAAGAGTAGAAAAATCCTCAAATATCCGGGTCATATTTCTTGGTCCACCAGGTGTTGGAAAGACCACGATGACGTATCACCTCCTCGAAACACCCATTCCTGAAGGTGGAGTAGATTCCACGAATATGATGAACGTCGACTTGAATCGACTCATGATCAACCAACGCACAGGCGAAAGGATTTTTCTACGCGGAAATGACATGGAGAGATCGGCAAGTCTCAATCGACTTCGTGATGTGCTTGGAACATTGTCAATATCAGAGAAAACTACCAAAGAAGGTTAGTTCATAGACTAGTTACCAGACCATAAGTCTTTGTATAGAAGTGTCCAGCTGCATGCATCTCTCTTCATATATCCCCCTACTTTACTAAAAGCTGATAACCAAGAAATAAAAAAATAAAAATGATTTTTTTTTCATTTGAGTATTTCATATTAAAGAGATATTGGTTATTGTACATTAGTTCATTAAACGGTTGTTCTCCTGAATGCAGAATTTCCTATTTCACAAATCACTGATAGTATTACTTATACACTACGTTTAACAACTTCAATTGTAAAAGCTGTTTAATCTTCTTAATTATTAATTCAAATACTTATACGAGACGGAATCTTTACAGAAGCTTATATTTGCATTTAAACCACTCACCAGTGACTTAAAACGGCTGCAGTGCCTTCAATATGATACACATATTTTTAGAAATGGTGCCTCTAGATCTCATGATTAATCATGAATTATTTCAATATTTGAAAATATATAAAATAAATCATTGAAAGTGACATCTTTTATAAAATCAACTGGTTTCCGAGTAGTGAGAGTTTTTATGCAGAATTTAACCAATATAATGCGAAAACAATTATCAAGGAAAATAATTAATTCATTAGAAATTTCGTTTCGTTGGTTACTTGTGTCAGAATTATTATTTTAAATGACAAAATGACTTTCATGGAAGCTTTAACTCTCAAACACCAAGACTTTAAAATGATACATGGATCCTAGCTGCACATTGCCATACTCTTCTCCAACAAAATACTTTAGGAACTAAGGAACGCTACATGTCGATAGAATATGTAAATCTTCTCTTTGTTCATACTTCCCTTTGTTCATACTTCCCTTTGTTCATACCTCCCTTTGTTCATACTTCCCTTGGTTCATACTTCTCTTTGTTCCTACCTCCCTTTGTTCATACTTCCCTTTGTTCATACTTTCCTTTGTTCATACTTCCCTTTGTTCATACTAACATTTGTTCATACTTCCCTTTGTTCATACTTCCCTTTGTTCATTTCTCCCTTTGTTCATACTTCCCTTTGTTCATACCTCCCTTTGTTCATACTTCCCTTTGTTCATACTTCCCTTTGTTTATACTTTCATTTGTTCATATTTCTCTTTGTTCATACTTCCCTTTGTTCAAACTTCCCTTTGTTCAAACTTCCCTTTGTTCATACCTCCCTTTGTTCATACTTCCCTTTGTTCATACTTCCCTTTGTTTATACTTTCCTTTGTTTATACTTTCCTTTGTTCATACTTCCCTTTGTTCATACTTTCCTTTGTTCATCCTTCCCTTTGTTCATACCTCCCTTTGTTCATACTTCCCTTTGTTCATACTTTCCTTTGTTCATACTTCCCTTTGTTCATACTTTCCTTTGTTTGAATTCTGGTTTTGTTGACACTTCGGTATTATTATTTTTGCCTGTTGACTTATTCCCTTGAAATCATTCATTGTTTTCAATCTATTTTGTAGGAATGTCTGCTGGTGGCGGACGCAGTTATAGTGGCGATATGGCTTATGTCAACATCTTTGACTTTGGAGGTGAAATCATGTTCAGCAACTTTCAGCACATCTTTTTAAACGCCGATGCCGTTATCATGCTGACATTCAGCTTACACAACTGTCTAAAGGACCCAAGCATACTTGGTAAGAAGTGTTGTATTCAAGTCGTAATAAGGTTGAGTTGATAAGAGTCATCCGTGCAGTGTATGTGTTTTCCTGTTTGGAATTAGACGTCGATGAAGATATATCGTGTCTAAGAATTTACCTTTCGAAAATGCAGCTTTTGCTATGATAAGTGATACTAGAACGTCAATAATAAGCACACCTCCCTATTGATAATATATGGAAACAAGATGGGTAATTCAAATTAAATTATGATAAACAACCGTCGGTTTGAATTAGGAGTTGCATTGGTGTTTTTTTTTTTTAATACCTTGGTTGGTATATATTTGTTCGGCATATCCATATAGGCATAAGGACATATTGATATTGATATTCCCAATTTCCAATGTACATAATGTCTTAGCTTAAATGATATTGATAAAACAAAATGTCGTGTTTCCCTCTTATGCTTGAGTTTCCCCGTTCGTATTTATCTCGAACAGATCTTCTCTAGAAAATGGGAAAAAGTTACAAACCCATGAGTTCCAAGTGACTGAAGCAGGCAAAAGTAATGACACATAAGCCTTACAATATTACAATTGGAAAACATAAAGTTTTGTTTACCAGAGATTAAATTTTGTTTAACGAGGGTTTTGTTTGGTTAAATACATGGATGCGGCTCAGTCTTTGGGTGTGCGAAATTGTAAAAAGCAATTCCTATATCCATGTAATAGCATCATAAAGTTATCAGTTAAAGACAAATATTCACCCCATACGACAATTGCCTTTGTAAATCAGTGTATGGAGTTCATAAGGCATTAAAATGCAAATACATTCAAGAAAGTTAAGGAAAAGAGTCAGTAACGTTTGTTAAACAATACGTGCACAACTTTGTGTCACTTCTGCAGACTCGGGGAAAGAATAGGCCTTCTGTATTCAACTTGGTTTAAACTGTATTTATTCAATGAGTGAAATACATAGCATGAATAATACAAATCACATAGACAAACATGATGAGAAAACAAGTACTGTGTACTATATAAATCCTTCCCATCTTTCTAACAAACTAGTGGCCTTATAGATTACTAACACTTGATAATATTACAGTTAAATGTATACAAATGAAGAAAAGAAAAATATGTGGTAAGGGACATGTTACGAAAGATAAATTGATATTCCATGAAACGGTAAGTAATTGTATCATTATGACAGCATTTATGAGGTTTTCACAATTTTGTTCCATCAACATAGTCATACTTTTACTGCTTATCCAGCACGTTTAGACTGGATAATGAAGTTTTGAACCCTCTCAAATATTTTGAGCTGTTGAGATGTTAGAGTCTCCATAAAGCTTTACATAGGCAGAGAGTTGGTAAGAAAGGCGATCAAGGCATTTACGTTTCTGAGTTTCATACTTGTGACACTGTTTTAGGAAATGTTCGTTTGTTTCAAAGGCAGCAAGGCAAGAACAGAAAAGACTCTCTACAAGGGCTGGTGGATCTGACCAATACGGGAACCGTTATTGTAATAGGAAGGAATAGCAACAACATTTCTGTTAAAATAGTTCTTAAGTCTAGAGATAGACGGATCATTTTTTGATGTTCCTGGCAATTGATTCCATAATTCAATACTAGCAGGGAGAAACGACTTTTGATAGGTCAAATATTGTTTGGGTGTCTTGTTCTGTAATCGTGAATTTCGGAGTTTGTTTGAGGTATAATGTTTCTAAGATATGAATGGGTCATGCGATGTATCATTTTATGTATCTGTATAATTTTATGGTTTTCACGTCTAGTTTTGAGGGGTTTCCAGCCAGTTTCCTTTTATAAATTAGGAATGCTTGGAAGTTTTGTGACACCAGTAACTATACGTGCTGCTTCTACTCGTAAATTTTCTAGCATTTCGGACAGAGCGATTTTTATGTTGTCCCAAACTAAATCCCCATATTCCAAGATTGGTCTATTGAAAGAAATGTACATTTTTAAAGGGATAATCTGTCAATTTTGAGTTTAAATCTACGCACTATATTTAGCTTTCCTGATGCTTTGTTAACTACATGATATAGGTGCTAAGCCCAGTATCCAGCTTCATGTCTTAGGAGATTACTTATTAGGGGCCCACTGGAGAATTTTTGTTCGGTGCCTTCAACTAAGATACTCTGGACATTTAAAGAAAGTAAAGTTGCTATAGTACATCGTTAAGAAACCCATTTGTTTTTCTTTTCTCTTTCCTACCCTTTCTTTTTGATTGTGTCTCCCTCGGCATCCGTCTTCAAATGCCTTTTGTACATGCCTCGAAGATATGTTCTTTCTTGAAAATCCGTTATTCTAGGTATCGCAGAATAGACCTGCTGAATATATGTTTTGCTAATACATATTAAATATATCTATTTTACAGAGACTGTGTATTTTTGGTTGAAGTTCATTTCCACCTACTCGATTGGAAAGTACAGGCCTCCTATTGTCCTCGTCGGTACACACCTTGATGAGATACCCTTTGTACGTATGTTTGCATTTCTAGTTTCTTGCATGTCTCTGTAACGACTTTGGACAATACATGCTTCAGTCAACATAGCCGGCCGTTTGTTAGTAGATGTTATCTTTCTTGTTAGATATTCATCCCATTATCATAAGATATGGTTTGTCAAAAGCATGCATATTGGAAGTGCATTTGTCATAATTCGGTAGTTTGTTGCACATCCAATTTCTACTGTATGGCGTGTTATTGAATCACTAGTACCACCTCAAATGTATGTGTAAATATTTACGGTCTACACTGACATTCACTCAAGAACCATTGTTCCCTGTAACTGGAGTTATCATCTCATAACCTGACTAAAGAATGTGACAAGCGTCCATGTGACGTTGACAACAATACAAGTTAACCACGGCTTATGCAAATTTCAGGATGTTACTTTAATGGAAAATTGTGTCCACTAATTTGACTAAGGAAGACGAAAATTAAGAAACATTAACAGAAAAGAACTTTCAAGATAAGGAATAGTTTTCTATATTTGGTCAGGTTATGAAGTGATTACTCCAGTTTGAATTGAGTAGATTGCTACAAGCATATGTATCGTTGATGGCGTCGCCATCTTTTCTATTAAAACGTGCTCAACTTATCACCTCAAATAGAAACCAATTCCTTAAGTTGGTCATCTTTTTTTGTTTCATATTTGTTATCTTATAGAACGAAAGAGAACCAACTCTGGAGACGTTCATGGCCACTATTAAATCAGAGAAAAAGAATCCTGATATTGCACAAATCTTTGAACAACACGTGGTAGATGTCATCTGCATCAGCAACCTCGAGCCAAGGGATCCAGTGTTTGAAAAGCTATGGAAAGTAATCCTAAAGTGTGCTCCATACCAAGCACAGTGGAATCAACTCTTACCGGGGCATTGGATTGCATTGGAACATGACCTCATGACGTTAAAGAGTCAAGGAACAAAGGTCATGACCTTTCAGAAGATAAAGGAGCGCGCTGCAGCCATGGATGTGACTGATGTTGGAGCGTTTCTGCGGTATGTAAAAGTATTGTGTGTACTGGAACTATTGCTTATCGATGTGTTTTTATCGAATGTTTTCCAACCCTGAAAAGCCGTTTATTGTTTTCCCCATATATTTTCTATTATTTCATAATATACTGATTTGATAAAAACAAAATCTGCATATGTCATATTTCTAAAATTCAAATAGGTACCTGAATTCTGCGAGAAACATACTGACATTCCCAACAGATGACCACAAAGATTTGCCAGCGGATCTGAAGGTCATCTTGGACCCGGAATGGATGATAAAGGCATTCCGCCTCATCGTCACCGAAATCAAATATCACATCGGAAATTTGGGACAGGGTGACCCTCTTCTGCAGGAGTATCAGCGGACCCGTCGGTTGAAAAAGGCCTTCATCGATCACGTATGGGGCAAAGAAGACACCGACAAGTTTTTGGAAAACAGTACTACTCTCCTGTACTACATTGAAAGATCGGAATTGATCGTGAAACCGCTCCCGAAGGAAGACGAGGCAGGCGATGACGTCGACACCTACATTGTACCATCCATGCTTCAAGACCAGAGCGACGTTAACCTCGTGAGATCTTACCTGAATCAAAGAAACATGGAGACGTCCTCAACACTTTGCATCAATTTTAAGAACAAGTTCATACCTGAAGCAGTCTATGACAAATTTATGGCTTCCCTTCTCTACCGATTTGAAGTGATCTCAACGAAACAAGACGAGCTTCTTTTACAACGGGGACTTGCTTGTTTCATTTTGACGGGCAATGTAAACATGGTAGTTCATTGCAAGGAAAATATGATCAAAGTAGCCCTGTTTTCGAAGGAGTATTCCTTTGCGAAGAGTCTGGCGGTTCCGATCAGGACTGTTTTGGAAAAGCTGCTTATGTCTACTCTTCAACGAAATGACCAAGGACATTTGGAATATAGCAGTCACATTGAAAAGGATTTCCAGATTTCAGAAACAGACGAGAAAACAGTCGTTACAACAAGAGCGGAGAAGAAATTTTGGTTCGGCGATTTTGAGGTACGAAGATGCACTTAGGCCTAAAAATCAAATGTATGTTTCAGGTACCCCATCCTCGATATCCAGGTGTTGCGTTCACGTACGCTCTCTGCACCCCTGGACTATGTCATAGCAAAATTGAAGTCACGAATGTAGCTGTTTGATTGGTCTCAGGAAAAAAAAAAAATATCAATCTCTGGGCTGATACCTGTCCTTTGAAGATTACAAAGGAGCAACACCCAACTTCAAAGTCAGACAATGTTTACCGTTACGTGACCAGGATATTCTTTTCAAAGGGTCGAACTACTATTCCTGCCTCATCCACACGGTCGCGCGCACTGAGCCTTCAATATTGCTTTGACATATTCCGGAGGTTCAAAGAGCGTAAATGAGCGTAACCCCTGGAGTATCGAGGATTCAGGTATCCAATCAAACCTCTGACTATAACAATTTTATCTCGCTCGAACGCACTCCATCCAGTGTTGGGATAAATTGTCCACCGGATGCAATTAAATTGATTGACAAACAAACAAGGCAACTAAATATGTACCTTTTCTACCTCATGTGCTGGTATCAAAATCAATTTCTTAAATCCAAATTATTATTCAAAAGACCTCAAACCATTTTTAGTGATTAAAAAAGATAAAATGAAATCTAATAAATCACGACCAACCAACCCAATTGTTTGAGTCAGGTACCTGAAACATACTTTTCGTTTTGGCCTGATGATATATTAATATTGCAAAATAGTCTAGTCCTGGAATTCTTCTCGGAACAATCCGTAATTAATTACAAGATCGATTCAACTTTATAAACAAAAATATCAGGATAAAATGATCGTCAATAAATTAGGTTTCTATGTAAAATTATAACTGAAATATTTAATTATAGTCGTTTAGCTTTTTTCAAAATATGAACTCATTCATTGACGAAATTATTATTTATGTTAACAGAAGTAAAATGTTAATAGAATGTATGTGATAATTCTAATTTACTATAAACTTGCAACTTCATGATTTATTATTTTCACGATTAAAAGCTGAATGCTTTGTCGATAATGATGAATTACAGCTTACCAGCTTTGAGTGAGTCTTCAATTTAGAAATAAATCTGTCGTGCGAGTCTTCAAATGAGAGATAAATCTGTCGTATTGTATGTGTCGTTATAAATATTCTAAACACAATTTTATTATTTTACATAGGACACGGGAACCACACCTGATGGTAAGTATATCGTTGTTAGGATGCATTGTGATTGTTACGATATTTGAAAACAGTCTTTACAATGACATACATTGTATTATAATGGACAGTACATTATTCATATATGTTTGTTTAAAATGCACTCAACTAATATAAGTAAGTTATAAGATATTTATGTCATCTACACTCATTTTTAAAGTCTACTTAATCATTTTTGTTAGAAGTTGTGACATTTTCCCTGATGCTTTTCAATTTTCTGATTGAGTTACACAATCAGTTTTAATGGTGGAATATGATTAAGAGTGGCTGACAGTTGAATTTTACACTTTTTAGTGAAAGAATCTAGTCCCGGCCCTTCAGAGGTCCTATCTTTGAAGCAGATGAGTCGAATCGCCAGACATATCAAAGCGTACTCGCATGTGATGTTCTTTATGGAACTCGATATGGATGACACGACCATCAGTCAGATTCGTTATGACAACGACATGTTAGATTTCCGGTCTCAAGTAACACGTATACTGATTCGTTGGCAAAACAACCTGAAAACCGGTGAACAAGCTGCATTAGGATTAATTGTAGACGCCATGAAAGCGACATCAATGGACTCGACCGACATGCTTTCAGAAATCACTCCACTATCATTTTTCGAGGAAGCAAGGAAAGTGGGTAAGTAGCAGATTTTTCTATTATCTTTTCAAGCTCGTTATGGGAGAATCCAAAGCATTTCCCATACTATTTTAATTTTTTGCATCATACCTAATCGTATAAGGTCCTGCTGACAAACATTCGCTTTTGCATCTACACCTCTAATCATATTTCCAACTTACTATATGCTACATGTATATTCCAGGTACCATATTTTTGAAGATATTTATTTCTTTGTTTTTGTCGCTTTTTTTCCTTTTTTTTTCTTTGTTTCTTTCTCTCTTTCTTTCTTTCTTTCTTTCGTATCTCCAGTAACCGATTTGTCTTGATTGCCAAAATAGAATTAAGACTTCCTATCAAACTTCAATAGTTCATTAACACAATATAGCAAATATTCGATATGTCTTATTGTCACGATTGAAGGTACAATTTAGCACTACATCAGTTTAAATCGCGAAAAAGAGTACCACTCTCATTTCTTTGACTTGGAGTTTTCTCCCTTCTGTAAAGAAAATCGAGGGCTGCGGTGGCCGAGTGGTTAAGATGTCTTACCGTCTAAGACCAACAATCCTTCACCACATGGTCGCGGGTTCGAGACCTATGTGGGGTAGTCGCCAGGCACTCCACCACAAAAGTCTGGTACGTCCTTTTAACGATAATAGGACGTAGAATACATAAAAACCAATAAAAACAAATTCAGAAAATGAAACAACCTAAAGGAGTGTTTCTGGCTTAAAACAAATCCCCTGTCAAGTGTTTCATTTGCTTTCTGGCGCATTACTTGGACTCAGTTTGATGCTGTGTTCGTAAGTAAACATTTTGTAATGGAAACAATTTCCACTTCGACCCCTGCATTTTTCTTGTAATCTTAATTCCTTTATTCAAATATTTGAATTTCTAACAACTATGATTCTGTCAAATACATGACAACATGTGATTTGTATGACATATTTCTTTTGAAAAGCACGTAAACAAATAGTTTACGATAATAACATTGGTAATTATATATAGTTGAACTCGTTGATACACATGATTCAATTTCGCTTGCATTTATATTGATATTTTTCCATTTTTTCTACTTGCAAAACTGTCACGAACATGTTATAATAAAAGGGATAATTGGAATCATGAGAGAAAAATCTCCAAAATTAGAAAGCATCATTAATCATGCGTTTCTGTTATAACAGCTGAATTAATAGACGAAACAGAAGTGCCACAACGTTGTCTTGTGGAATCAGAGGTCAAAGAAGTGGCCCATCTGGTGGGGAAAATGTATGTCGTGTTCTTCATTGAGCTTGACATGACCAACGAAGATATCGAAGAGGCAGAGATGAATCACCATAGACATGTGTTAGAGATGAAGGAAAGCTTATTTAATGGATGGTTAACACGTGAAGGTGATGGTGCAAATGTGGTGAGAGTCCTTATGGCGTTTCAGGAATGTCGTCAACTCAACTGGAAAACGTTGGTTGGTAAGTTTTTAAAGATCATTTAAATCCCCATCAGTTTAATTACGAAGTAGTCAATGTTTGTGTATGTATAATGTAAAGGAGAAAGGACGAAATCTGCCCATTCTGTAAGAGAATGGACTGATCGAGGCCATTAGGGCCGAGTTCTGTTCATTCTATCACAGATCGGAGAGTTTAAAGCCCATTTTCCTACTTAAAATACAGTACCTTTGTACCAATAATGGCACATTTTTTTTAGTTAAGAATGTACAGCTGCTATTAAACAATGTACGGTAATAAATTTAACAATGACGAGGCGTTTGTGTGTATGCAGCATGAGCTATGGTCATTCATGCATGAATGTATATTGTTAACTCATTGGACAAGTACAGGTAGAGCTTCTATATATGGAAATGTACATGAGTTTCATGAATCCTAGGTATTTACCAGTCATTCCAACTTGGTCATATTAAGCGAGAACATGTTATTATCGTGAGATGACAATATCAGTTTCAACATCAAGATTTTTAATGCAAAGACATGTTGACTAATACAATGCATCAAACAGATAACAGGATATTTTACTAAAAATGGCAATTGGATTAAAATAGAAAACGTTACTGAAGGAGATGATCAATAAATCAAAACCTCAAATAACACCTTAACCAACACTGGTGGCAGTTTAAATTGATCACTTCCAGGACATAACCGCTATATTCGTGAAACATCACGGAATGTCTATTGGATTATTTAATTCTATCTCAAGTATGGATTACTTTGCGTGACGATCTGTTAGATCATTCATATTTTAAGTTTTACAGCATTCTGTTGGAAATTTTTTTCCAGAGGTCGTTACTCCTCATTGAAATTCAACAGTGTAAATGTACATAAACCTAGCAAAGCACAATGTAGAAAATAAATTGTGGATTTTCTTCTAAAATTTGTTAGTGCTTAAAAGTATTTTTGTAACCTGTAACCGTCAATTATTAGGCGAATAGCCGTCCTGTATTTAACACAATAATAATGAACAGATACATGTACTTCATTGTACATTCTACTTAATAATGTACAATGGGAACAAAGGATGATGTCACAACTGTGTTTTAAAGTAGAATATATAACGAGGGTGGGAAAATGTTGGGAAATAATTAACGAATTTCAAATTTATCCCACTGAAAAATAATGATTGAACACGAACATCAAAAATTGATGAATATGTAAATAATTGACATATACCTCTTCTGTTTAATTAAATGTGTGAATTCTAATGATATTTTGCACATTTGCAAATTTCGTTTCAGATGTGCTGAAGAAAATACCAAGTGTCTGAATTCATTTATGAGGCATGTCGTATCACAAGGTATCCAGGTAATGTCACGTCCTCGCATCTTGTTGTTCAAAGATAGTCCTGATCAGCTCATCAATGAATTCAGTTTCTTATAAAAACAGAAAGACTTCGGCCAGGAGAGGGGCAGAGTTTATTATCATAGGAATGCCTACAGCCTGCTGGAAATGTTTGCCACCAAACTCAACCAAGATATTGTCAACCAGGAATTCAACGATTCTCACAATATCGCCCTCAGTATTAAACAAAATAAGCTCCAAAATGATAAATCTTTATTAAGAATATTCATGATTGCTTTGGTGGCTTAATTATTTCAATTTGACTTCAATTAACTGGTGGCAGGAATATCTCACTATAAGTGTACATAAGAGTATATATTCGGTATACGTAAATAGGTCGAATGTAACAGTTTAGCAAATCTATGTCATACTTCAGAAGATCCTGCTACACTTCTAATTTCTTATATCAAAATAACGTTTGAGTTAGATAGTTACCTTCAAAGTTGGTCAAAGATTACCTTCATTTTTTGTCTTGATCACAAAGAGGTAATATGCATTTACCCCAAGACTGATTTTGGTAGACATTTTTGTTGTTGTTATATACATATAGCTATATGAAGTATAGTTGTGAACATTGAAACATATTTCCTCTTGTGATAGAAACGATTCTTTTATTCTGATAGAATGGCTAGAACATACGCCTGACAAGATGATATTCAATTAAACTTAAAAATACCGAAACTCTGGGATAACTATCTTTATCTTAATGTGTCTTGGATACAGATGTGAACATTATTGAAATATTAATTATGTCCTTATTCAACACTTGGTACAATTGTGCAGATTTTCAATAATATTTAAAAATTCAGATCTTGTATCTGAAATGTTTCTTAATTCCTGACAAAGCCTACCTATGGTGGTTCATTTGCAGAAAAAGTTTCATTCGAAGTAATTTGTTTTTGAAAATAGAACGCTAAAATCGCACTGAGATTTCGTTCGTTTTTCGGCCGTGATTAGTATCCAAATTGGTACACCATATCACAGGCTATGAAACTTGTTTTTATTTTTCTAGTTGATGTGCAATCGTATATACACTTTTATATTATCCGGTTATAAGGAGCAGATATCAACATTCAAACCTGCTTATATTTAACCCCTTCAAAAGCCTCCACAATTTCGTCGACGTATATCGTTTTTACTGGTTTTCGGATATGTTTACTTTGAAGTCATTATGTACTCTTAAAATATTTCTGGAAACAAAACTATGAAAATGCTTATAAATACCTCATTTGTTATACTGTCAAAGTAAAAAGAGCAATTTTAATTTTAAAGTACTATTCGAACCATTTTCTGACCGTGCACCAATTCGGGTAGTGTACCAATTGTGGTAGCGTGACGTTATATGCAATAAAAAAAGTTCAGTATATAAATGAGAAACAAACCAAAAGACAGAGTTGCTAGCGTTTTCTTCCATGTATGGGTTTGTCGGTTGCCTTATGAAACCATAAATGGTCGAGAGCGCTTGCAACTCTTGTCTGTTACCTTTTTGTATAGTATTATTTTAAATTGTAAACATCATGCATACACTATTTACATGAATTTTGAGGAAGATTATTTTTCTTATAGTTTGGGTTATTTTTTAAGCCGCTCTTGGCGAGAGCCGAGCGGCTTATTAATTCTGTCCAGAGAACGAAATGACGGACCCACTTCCGTTACGGATGCGTGCGCATAATTCAGTCTTGCATGCTTCCGCTATATAGTTTCGTTATCGTAAATAGAAAGTAGAATCTCTGACACTCACCTGTGGGTTACTTAAAGTCTTCTGATACTCTTCTCCAAGTAATAATCTATACTTTTAATAATTGCTGAAAACAAAATGTTTGTCTCCGGTGCATTCTACGAGTGTTGTGGTGGTGAAATTCGTGCACTACGTTTGAGCGTTTTAGCAACTCGGATTGAGGCCTTAGGAGTGTTACGCGTGTGAAACACATATGATTCGAGAAAGCACATGTGAAGACTGTCAAGCATCGACGCTGTCTGTAGAAGGAAGAAGTAAATATATGTATTTATAAACCGTATTAGTGATGAAGTATAACCTCTATTTTGATGTTTCAAACGGGAACGTAATATGACATATCGTGCTTAGGTTGTTAACGGTAATGCTTAATGGCTCTGAGACGAGACGATATGTAAACTGTGTATGCTTATCAAACATTTCTGTAACACAGCATGCTATTTCTGGTGTATTTATTTATGAAAGTGTAACAATTTAAGAACATGACACAACTGCCGCTGCTGTTTGACAAGAATTCGCGCCGTGTCAAAATATTATCCAATCCGGTGTAAGGGAAATAACTCTTACGTTAGTAATTAATATAAAGTCGCATTGAGAAATATAATTCAAATATATTCCAAGAACATTTTTGAGATTTTGTATATTCAATGACAGTAAATAAAGTCACTACATATATTAATAATTATTATTCATATGAATAAATAATAAATAAAAATAAAAGGAGTACAATGTCTCTATTCTCCATGTATTTTTCCCCCATTCTGTTAATTCTTCATTTCACAATCACAAAATGCACCTATTCTTTATTATCCATTCACCGATTGGCATTCTGCACATAAATGCTCATGTCACATCATTGGAGGATGCTAGTTAATGAAAATTACAACAATGCGTCACACTGACAGAGGGTGAAAAAAGAGGAGAGGGAGAAATGTTTTTAAGGCATCATTTAAGATTCTTGGTGATTGATTTTGGAAATCCCAAAGGCATCATCATCACATGACCTGATTTTCAATAAGCAGAATACAGAACACATATCTGAGGTATTATAGAAGATATTGATGCTCCACGTCTTACTGAAGCAATTCAATTTAAAGTGGTGAGCGGCTTAAATGTCAGACTGACATAATTCTAGTTATTTTCAGGTATTCATTTTTATTCAAGATTTTCTATGACTTTATCGTAGGTACAATTATAACGATGAGGATCTCTCGCATCAGATCACTGTCGGTAATATATGGTTTTAAAACACAACAGAAAAATGTCCCAAATTGGTATTGGGGACACATACCCCATTGACCTTATATCAATATGAAATCTTATATTCTATTAAGCAGTATATGTATCATACTTTCGCTTAGGTAATTTTTAATGCACATGGATCTCTTATTATAATATCTGTTTATTTTTTTCACATATACTTATTATAGTTTATATAAATTCATACACACTTAAGATATAAAGGTTGTATAGTAAAATTGTATTCAATAAAAAAAAAAAAAATAAAAAAAAAAAAATTCACATCAATACATTATAATTGTAAATAAATACACCCAAGTGAAAATATTTAGCTTGAAATAGCTAACATTTCGTATACAACTTAAATCTATAGAGGTAAATACACTTAGATCTTTTTTGCATTTCAATAACATGTTCCCAATTAAAAAGAAATATAATTCATAAAGACAAAAAAGTTATATTTATGTTAATCATTATGCCTAACATTGCAATGATAGTGTTACTATGGATGTATTTCATTGTGCGTAACGGTATATTTTTGTTTATCTATTTTACAAGTTTATTCATGTATCAATTAGAGCCTGGCCCGACTGATGTTTGACATATTAATATATAATCAGGAATTTGATGTTGAACCTAATTTTAACACCAGTTGCATATTCGGGGTAATCTTCGCTCTCTGCACCCCTGGAATATGCCGTAACAAAATTGAAAACACACGCCTAGATATTGGATTTGTGTCGGGTAAAAGAAACTAACCAATCGCTTGACTGATACCTATCCTTTAAAGATTACAGAGGAGCGACACCCGACATCAAAGCCAGTCAATTTAACCGTTACGCGAGAACGTGATTCTTTTGATAAACATCAACATATCAAATTAGTTTGCTTTCTTGTCTTATCCACAAATAGCTAGCGGTGAGCCTTCTATTTTGCTATGACATATTCCAGGGGTGCAGAGAGCGAAGGTGAGCGTAACCCCTGGAGTATCGAGGATGAACATGGATTAGAAGAAAAGTCTTCAAATTGTATAACGGTTACCTCCCTTCGTACGCTACATCGCAGGACCACCATCCTTCAAATCTTTGTCTAATTTTACTATTGTTTGCTATTTTTCATATATTTTATTTCCCAATCAATTTCTTTAAATCTATGGAAATATTTGTTGTGTTTTCAGTTTTATAGTTTGTAACTGTGTTCTCTTTTAGTTTTTGAAATTGTTATAATAAAGGAGTTTCGTGCACTTCTGTTTTCACAATATTTTAGACCAATTTGATAATTCATTTTTAGCTCACCATGGCGCGGCGTCCGGCGTCCGTCAACTTTTCTTAAAAAATCGGTTATTGTCATGAACGACTGAGCAGATTTTGACCAAATTTGGTCAGAAGCATCCTTGGGGGAACAGGAACAAATTTTGTATGAATGGTGGCTGAGGGGCGGGCCCCAATAGGGGATTCATAGTAAATTCTTTAGAATGCTTCTCCTTCTGTAGGAATGAAAGGACTTGTTCCATATTTGGTCTAAAGCATCCTTGGGTGAAGGGGAACCAATTTTGTATAAACCGTGGGTCTGGCCCCCCAGTGGCCTGAGGGGCGGGGCCCAATAGGGGTAACAAAGCAAATTCTTTAAAATCCTTCTTCTTCTGTAAGAATGAATGGATTTGGTCCATATTTAGTCTGAAGCATCCTTGGATGAAGGGGAACCAATTTTGTATAAACCGTGGGTCTGGCCCCTTTGGGGCTGAAGGGCGGGGTCCAAAAGGTGAAATATAGCAAATTCTTTAAAATCCTTTTTCTTCTGTAGGAATGAATGGATTTGGTCCATATTTAGTCTGAATCATCCTTGGGTGAAGGGGAACCAATTTTGTATATAAACGGCGGGTCTGACCCCCTTGGGGCTGAAGGGCGGGGTCCAATAGGGGAAATATAGCAAATTCTTTAAAATCCTTTTTCTTCTGTAGGAATGTATGGATTTGGTCCATATTTAGTCTGAAGCATCCTTGGGTGAAGGAGAACCAAATTTGTATATAAACGGTGGGTCTGACCGCCTTTGGGCTGAAGGGCGGGGTCCAATAGGGGAAATATAGCAAATTCTTTTAAATCCTTTTTCTTCTGTAGGAATGAAAAGGACTTGGTCCATATTTGGTGTGGAGCATCTGTTGGTAAAAGGGGAACCAATTTTGTATGAACGGTGGGTGTGGACCTCCTGGGACCTGAGGGGCAGACCCAATAAGGGAAATAGACGTAAAACCTTTATAATCCTTCTTCTACCATAGGGATTAAGGGATTTTATCCTTAATTTAGTCTGGAGCATCCTTTGGCCAAGGGGACTCAATTTTGTATAAGCAGTGGGTGTGGTCTCCAAGGGGGCAGAAGGGCGGGGCCCAATAGGAGAAATAGAGGTAAAACCTTTAAAATCCTTCTTCGACCATCGGGTTTAAGGGATTTTATCCTTGTTTTGTCTGGAGCATCCTTGGGCCAAGGAGGCTCTATTTTGTATAAATTGTGGGTATGACCTCCTATGGGCATAGGGGTGGGTCTCTGTTTGAAGTTTGTTTTCGCTATATCTCAAGTACTGGATGGACCTTTCTGAAATTTCATATGTACTTACAGCACCTACCATGGAGTGCTATATCTTTACTTCATACCAATTATTTTAAACATATTCAGGTGAGCGATGCATGCCCTCTGGGCCTTTTGTTCGCAAATAGTATGTTTTACCCGATTATATAGGTTAAACACCTATGTGTGTCTTACGTTCCCCTTACATACTATTTTTACAATAGGGGAGATAATCTATAAACAGTGAATTCAGTAATACATGTGATATCGTTTTTTGTCACTTTATTATATTTTACTGTACTCTCCTGTATGTGACTACTACATTACACTACGTGGAAATAATGTAATAGTATTTGCAACCTGAAGGTGTCGTTGCCTGATACATGTAGAAACATAATGTACATTGTTTCCTGGTAAATGTAGAAACAGGATATGCATTGTTTCCTGGTAAATGTAGAAACATTATATACATTGTTTCCTGATAAATGTAGAAACATGATATACGTTGTTTCCTGATAAATGCAGAAACATGCTATACATTGTTTCCTGGTAAATGTAGACACAGGATATACATTGTTTCCTGATAAATGTAGAAACAGGATATACATTGTTTACTGATAAATGTAGAAACATAATGTACATTGTTCCCTGGTAAATGTAGAAACATAATGTACACTGTTTCCTGGTAAATGTAGAAACATAATATACATTGTTTCCTGATAAATGTAGAAACATGATATACATTGTTTCCTGATAAATGCAGAAACATGATATACATTGTTTCCTGGTAAATGTAGAAACAGGATATACATTGTTTCCTGATAAATGTAGAAACATAATGTACATTGTTCCCTGGTAATGTAGAAACATAATGTACAATGTTTCCTGGTAAATGTAGAAACATGATATACATTGTTTCCTGGTAAATGTAGAAACATAATGTACAATGTTTCCTGGTAAATGTAGAAACATAATGTACATTGTTCCCTGGTAAATGTAGAAACATAATGTACATTGTTTCCTGGTAAA